CTCCTCCCTCTGTGCTGCACCCCCTCTGTGTACCCCCACTCCTCCTCTGTGCTGTACCCCCTGTGTACCCCTCACTCTCCCTCTGTGCTGCACCCCCCTCTGTGTACCCCTCACTCCTCCTCTGTGCTGTACTCCCCATGTACCCCTCACTCCTCCTCTGTGCTGTACTCCCCCTGTGTACCCCTCACTCTCCTCTGTGCTGCACCCCCTTTGTGTACCCCTTACTGCTACTCTGTGCTGTACTACCCCTCTGTGTACCCCTCACTCCTCCTCTGTGCTGTACTCCCCGTGTACCCCTCACTCCTCCTCTGTGCTGCACCCCCTCTGTGTACCCCTCACTCCTCCTCTGTGTTGTACTAACCGTGTACCCCTCACTCCTCCTCTGTGCTGCACCCCCCTCTATGTACCCCTTACTGCTACTCTGTGCTGTACTCCCCCTCTGTGTACCCCTCACTCCTCCTCTGTGCTGTACTCCCCCTCTGTGTACCCCTCACTCCTCCTCTCTGTGCTGCACCCCCCTCTGTGTACCCCTTACTGCTACTCTGTGCTGTACTCCCCCTCTGTGTACCCCTCACTCCTTCTCTGTGCTGCACCCCCCCTCTGTGTACCCCCCACTCCTCTGTGCTGCACCCCCCTCTGTGTACCCCCCACTCCTCCTCTGTGCTGCACCCCCCTCTGTGTACCCCTCACTCCTCCTCTGTGCTGTACTCCCCCTCTGTGTACCCCTCATTCCGCCTCTGTGCTGCACCCCCCTCTGTGTACCCCTCACTCCTCCTCTGTGCTGCACCCCCTCTGTGTGCCCCCTCACTCCTTCTCTGTGCTGCACCCCCCTCACTGCTCCTCTGTGCTGTACCCCTCTGTGTACCCCTCACTCCTCCTCTGTGCTGTACTCCCCCGTGTACCCCTCACTGCTCCTCTGTGCTGTACCCCCCTCTGTGTACCCCTCATTCCACCTCTGTGCTGTACCCCCCTGAGTACCCCTCTCTCCACCTCTGTGCTGTACCCCCCTGTGTACCCCTCACTCCTATGTGCTGCACCCCCCTCTGTGTACTCCTCACTCCTCCTATGTGCTGCACCCCCCTCTCTGTACCCCTCTCTCCACCTCTGTGCTGTACCCCCTCTGTGTACCCCTCACTCCACCTCTGTGCTGTACCCCCCTGAGTACCCCTCTCTCCACCTCTGTGCTGTACCCCCCGTGTACCCCTCACTCCTCCTATGTGCTGCACCCCCCTCTGTGTACCCCTCACTCCTCCTATGTGCTGCACCCCCCTCTGTGTACCCCTCACTCCTCCTCTGTGATGCACCCCCTCTGTGTACCCCTCACTCCTCCTCTACGCTGCACCCCCCTCTGTGTGCCCCTCACTCCTCCTCATGGCACACACTGTCACCTTATATACAGATTACTGATCCGGCACTGCTTCCTCCTCCATGATCTGACATGACACACACGGTCACCTTATATAGAGATTACTGATCCGGCACTGCTTCCTCCTCCACGATCTGACATGGCGCACACAGTCACCTTATATACAGATTACTGATCCGGCACTGCTTCCTCCTCCACGATCTGACATGGCGCACACTGTCACCTTATATACAGATTACTGATCCGGCACTGCTTCCTCCTCCACGATCTGACATGGCGCACACGGTCACCTTATATACAGATTACTGATCCGGCACTGCTTCCTCCTCCACGATCTGACATGGCGCACACTGTCACCTTATATACAGATTACTGATCCGGCACTGCTTCCTCCTCCACGATCTGACATGGCGCACACGGTCACCTTATATACAGATTACTGATCCGCACTGCACTGCTTCCTCCTCCATGATCTGACATGGCGCACACTGTCACCTTATATACAGATTACTGATCCGGCACTGCTTCCTCCTCCACGATCTGACATGGCGCACACGGTCACCTTATATACAGATTACTGATCCGGCACTGCTTCCTCCTCCACGATCTGACATGGCGCACACGGGCACCTTATATACAGATTACTGATCCGGCACTGCTTCCTCCTCCACGATCTGACATGGCGCACACGGGCACCTTATATACAGATTACTGATCCGGCACTGCTTCCTCCTCCACGATCTGACATGGCGCACACTGTCACCTTATATACAGATTACTGATCCGGCACTGCTTCCTCCTCCACGATCTGACATGGCGCACACGGGCACCTTATATACAGATTACTGATCCGGCACTGCTTCCTCCTCCACGATCTGACATGGCGCACACTGTCACCTTATATACAGATTACTGATCCGGCACTGCTTCCTCCTCCATGATCTGACATGGCGCACACAGTCACCTTATATACAGATTACTGATCCGGCACTGCTTCCTCCTCCACGATCTGACATGGCGCACACTGTCACCTTATATACAGATTACTGATCCGGCACTGCTTCCTCCTCCACGATCTGACATGGCACACACGGTCACCTTATATACAGATTACTGATCCGGCACTGCTTCCTCCTCCACGATCTGACATGGCGCACACTGTCACCTTATATACAGATTACTGATCCGGCACTGCTTCCTCCTCCACGATCTGACATGGCGCACACTGTCACCTTATATACAGATTACTGATCCGGCACTGCTTCCTCCTCCACGATCTGACATGGCACACGGTCACCTTATATACAGATTACTGATCCGGCACTGCTTCCTCCTCCACGATCTGACATGGCACACACGGTCACCTTATATACAGATTACTGATCCGGCACTGCTTCCTCCTCCACGATCTGACATGGCACACACTGTCACCTTATATACAGATTACTGATCCGGCACTGCTTCCTCCTCCACGATCTGACATGGCGCACACTGTCACCTTATATACAGATTACTGATCCGGCACTGCTTCCTCCTCCACGATCTGACATGGCGCACACTGTCACCTTATCGATAACAAAATGGCTGAAATGACCCTATCTGCTGAAGGAGATGACGATTTTTAGGATACAACTATCCTGATCCCATCTACAGCTTCGAGCCATTCTTGTCAGACACAAACAAAAGGACACACAAACACAATTTATTTTAATTAAACTTTAAAGAAACGTATTGCAATAGAGACAACATTTGATGTACTTAAATATAAAAATAAGTTAAAGAGGCACTTAGTTCAAGAACACCGATGACAGTGGGGCCTATGCTGCCATTGACACCCATTCAACTGCACACTCACAAGATGGGACACAGTCTTTGACAGGGGCAGACTGACCATTTGGAAACTCGGGCACTGCCGTGGGCCCGGGATCAGTAGGGGGCCCCATGAGATGCCCCTGGTACCTTTTTCATAGTCTTTTTTGACTTTGGGCAAGGACACAGGGGCCCCATGATTCCCTATTGCCCGGGGGCCCTATGAGTTGTCAGTCCGCCCCTGGTCTGTGATCGAAGGTGGTTTACAGGGCAACACATGTCAGATTTCAGGTGACCTCTGATCCCCAACACAAGCTGAAATGCCAGACAAGTGGTCAGCCAAAAAGGTCAGCATGGCTTCATACACATGGGGGGTACCTATTTGTACACCTTTGCGAAGGGCCATCTTTGCCCACATGGGATGCACAGGTGTTCCATGCATCTGCATGCAGGCAGTCCATTGATTGATGTCTATTGGGATACAGCCGCTGTGTCCCAATAGACACGAATGGGACTGCCTGCATGCAGATGCACTGAACCCTTGTACATCCAATGCAGGCAAAGATGGCCCTTTGCACAGGTGTATGGATAGGTACCCCCATGTGAATTAGACCTTTAAAGAGATGTAAATATCAAAAGTAAGACTGAACAAATATATTCATTTTTTAACTGAACTTTAGGCAGACACCTAAAACACATAAAGCAAAATGGAGTTGATACTGTCAAAGGATCTGTGTAAGGATGTATTGATTATAGATCTGCAATTATTTGGGTCTTTGCTATCTGCCTGAGGTTCAGACATAAGGCTGAATATCTCTAAAGCTGGCAATACACTATAAAATCTCATTTCACAATCTCTGTACAATCTCCTTAACATTTCCCAAAAAATAAATCCATTTGATTTGTATCCAATCGGGGAGGCCCTTTCACTACATAGTAAATTAAAGGCAACTGTACAATCCGATTGTGTAGTGTAGGGTCAGCTTAGTTTTGCAGAAGCCTAGTTGTGATTGGCTCTCATTGATTTGTATCCAATCGGGGAGGCCCTTTCACTACATAGTAAATTAAAGGCAACTGTACAATCCGATTGTGTAGTGTAGGGTCAGCTTAGTTTTTGCAGAGGCCTAGTTGTGATTGGCTCTCATTGATTTGTATCCAATCGGGGAGGCCCTTTCACTACATAGTAAATTAAAGGCAACTGTACAATCCGATTGTGTAGTGTAGGGTCAGCTTAGTTTTGCAGAAGCCTAGTTGTGATTGGCTCTCATTGATTTGTATCCAATCGGGGAGGCCCTTTCACTACATAGTAAATTAAAGGCAACTGTACAATCCGATTGTGTAGTGTAGGGTCAGCTTAGTTTTGCAGAAGCCTAGTTGTGATTGGCTCTCATTGATTTGTATCCAATCGGGGAGGCCCTTTCACTACATAGTAAATTAAAGGCAACTGTACAATCCGATTGTGTAGTGTAGGGTCAGCTTAGTTTTGCAGAAGCCTAGTTGTGATTGACTCTCATTAAAGGGGACAAGTCAGAGGAATGGGGAAACAGTGGGGGTTAGTTACTAAAACTGGAGAGTGCAAAATCTGAAATGCAATTCTGCGTAGAAACCAATCAGCTTCCGGTTTTTATCACCAAGTTTGAAGAAGCTGAAGTTAGAAGCTGATTGGTTCCCATGCACAGCTGCAGCAGAATCTGAGTGCTCCAGCTTTAGTAAATCTCCCCCAGTGGAACATGGCAGAACATGTGACATATACAGGGAGCACACTTCACTAATATGCTCCATCCAGAGGTGTGATAGCCCATAGGTGGGGGGTAATTATGGTCCTCTAACTATCCAGACTCATCAGTAAAGCCGTTCCTCGCTTGATCCAATGTTCTGGAGGTGATGCCCCAGTGCGAAGATCCACGCCTATCACAAAGGAAGCACGGCCAGAAGACCCAGAGCGGATGGGGTAGTAATAACATGGGCAGGGGTAGAGACCTGTAACAGACAGTAAAGAAGCAATTTTTAGAAAAATCATAAAAATGTCAGTATAGGGCAAAAAAACTTCTGAAAAGACTGCTAATCTACAACGCTATGAAAATGTTTAACCTCCTCGGCGGTATGATTCTTTCCGATTTTTTGTGCTGAAAGCTAAATTTTTTTGCATGGAAATATGTAGTTTTTTTTTATTGTAGGTCGGTAATTTTTAGGAATAACTCACTGAAATCTGTCTGAACAAGAGTCTAGTAAACATCCCGGGGATGATAAAATTTGAAACACGAAATCATAAATTATAATTTAATAAATAATCATATAAAATAATAATATAATAATAATAAATTTAATTCAATAATATAATCAAACCAAAAACACTGAAATTTGAAATACAGAGGCAAATTCGCACATCGCTGAGCAAAGTCGCAAAATCGTTTTCAGTGTCTGATGAGGAATTTCCCCCACGAATCATTATCACTCAATTCTGCAAGTGGTTCTGATTTACTATCGCTGTTCTCTAGCCGGTCTAAAACCGCTTTTGACCTAAAGGGACACTTTTTGGACGCCATGGACTTTTCTCAGTTTCCAGGCAGAAAGAACAGTAAAAATGCAGGCAGGGCGCCGGACAAAGCAGTAGGGACAAAATATATGTGAAATGCATTGAAACAGCAATGACAGCAAAAATGACATTTTTAAAAAATTTCAAATTTCCCGCCGGTTCTGGCGCCCGTATGTCCTGACGTCACAGGGACCGGAACACAGAAGCCGGATGCCGGCATCAGCCGGAGGAGATGGCCGGGGACGCTGCAGGGGACACATCGCGGGAGCGAAGGACAAGGTAAGTGCTGCAGGGACCCCCTGAGCAACACCGCATGGTAAGCCTGAGTGTAGCTCGGGGTTACCGCTTTTGATACTCAAATTTTACCCCGAACTACACTCGGGAATATCGCTAAGGAGGTTGATAGACTAAGACAAGGCACCATGGCAGGCAAGTCACAGGGTAACACCTAATATGTAGAGGTTAAAACAATTCTCCCAAAAGTTAATAGGAAACTTCACAAATTTTCCCAAAAGCTAATAAAGATTCCTTCAATTTCTAAAGCCTGTTGTGTGTATGATAGTGTTGGACAGATAGAAGTGAAGTGGTTCTGATGGATAGACTGGAAGGTGCGCGTTTTCCTTCTACAAAGCAGATCCATGGTGACAATTGATGTGGGTGGACCTTGGTCGGCTCCTAGGCTGGTGGTGACCAAGGAAGTGTTCAACAGATGGCAAATGTTTGGATACGTACTAGTGCCTGGTACAAAATATCTTTGAATCCCGGACAATTCTTCTGGCAGTTGTGGCTGCAATCTTTCTTGGTCTACCTGACCTTGGCTTGGTATCAAGAGATCCCCGAACTTTCCACTTCTTAATAGGTGATTTAACAGTACTGATTGACATATTCAAGGCTTTGGACATCTTTTTATGTCCTTTTCCATCTTTATAAAGTTCCATTACCTTGTTACGCAGGACTTTTAACAGTTCTTTTCTGCTCCCCATGGCTCAGTATCTAGCCTAGTCAGTGCTTCCACGTAAGAGCTAACAAACTCATTGACTATTTATACACTGGCACTAATTGCAATTTAAAAAGCCACAGATGTTGGACATTAACCTCTAATTGGCATTTTAACCCCGTGTGCCACCTTGTGTGTCTGTACCAAGGCTGAACATTCCAGGGGAGGGAGACTTCTGATCCGGGCCATTTGGGTGATTTCTGTTGTCATTAGAATTTAAAAAGGAGCCAGACAACTATTTGATAATAAATGGCTTCATATGATCATCATCCTTCAATAAAAGAGCATTTTTTGGCATGATTAGTCATATTTTCAATATCAATGCCAACATTTCACAATTTCTGCCAGGGGATGCAAACTTTTGAGCACAACTGTATATACACACACTGCTCAAAAAAATGAAAGGAACACTTTGAGAACACATCAGATCTCAATGGGGAGAAATCTCCTGCTGCATCTCTATCCTGACATGGACGGGGTAATGTGTTAGGGACGTAAGGATGCCCCATCGTTTGATGGAAATGAAAATCATCAACCTACAGAGGACTGAATTCAAAGACACCCCGAAAATCAAAGTGAAAAAAATTATGCAGCAGGCGAGTCCATTTTTCTGAAATTTAATTGCAGCAACTCAGAATGGTCCTCAGTAGTTTGTATGGCCCCCACGTGCTTGTATGCATGCCTGACAACGTCGGGGGAGGCGCCTAGTGAGATGACAGATGGTGTCCTGGGGGATTTCCTCCCAGATCTGGACCCGGGCATCACCGAGCTCCTGAACAGTCTGAGGTGCAACCTGGCGGCGTTGGATGGACCGAAACATGACATCCCAGAGGGGTTCTATTGGATTTAGGTTAGGCGAGCGTTGGGGCCATTCAGTGGTATCAATTCCTTCATCCTCCAGGAACTGCCTGCATACTCTCCCCACATGAGACCAGGCATTGTCGTGCACCAGGAGGAACCCAGGACCCACTGCACCAGCGTAGGGTCTGACAATTGGTCCAAGGATTTCATCCCGATACCTAATGGCAGTCAGAGTGCCATTGTCTAGCCTGTAGAGGTCTGTGCGTCCCTCCATGGATATGCCTCCCCAGACCATCACTGACCCACCATCAAAACGGTCATGCTGAACCATGTTACAGGCAGCAGGATGTTCTCCATGGCTTCTCCAGACCCTTTCCCGTCTGTCACATGTGCTCAGGGTGAACCTGCTCTCATCTGTGAAAAGCACAGGGTGCCAGTGGTGGACCTGCCAATTCTGGTGTTCAATGGCAAATGCCAACCAAGTTCTATGGTACCAGGCAGTGAGCACAGGGCCCACTATCTCGGGCCCTCAGGCCACCCTCATGAAGTCTGTTTCTGATTGTTTGGTCAGAGACATTCACACCAGTGGCCTGCTGGAGGTAATTTTGTAGGGCTCTGGCAGTGCTCATCCTGTTCCTCCTTGTACAAAGGAGCAGATACTGGTTAAGGACCTTCTACGGCCCTGTCCAGCTCAAGTGTTCCTTTAATTTTTTTGAGCAGTGTATATACATATATATATATACACTCACAGCCCACTAGGTACACCTGTTCAATTGTTTGGTAACACAAATTTCACAAATACAGAGGGTTCACACACAAGGTGCAAACAATTCATAAGCCTGAAGAATAGAAAAGCCAGATTAGACTTTGCCAAAAAACATCTAAAAAAGCCGGACCAGTTCTGGAAAAGCATTCTTTGGATGGATGAAACTAAGATGAATCTGTACCAGAATGACGTGAAGAAAAAAGTGTGGAGAAGGCTTGGAACAGCTTATGATCCAAAGCACACAATATCGTGTGTAAAACATGGTGGAGGCAGTGTGATGACATGGGCATGCATGGCTTCCAGTGGCACTGGGTCATTGGTGGTTATTGATGATGTGACAGAAGCAACCAGATGAATTCTTCATTGTTTACAGATATACTGTCAGCCCAGATTCAGTCGAATACAGCAAAGTTGATTGGATGGCGCTTCACAGTACAGATGGACAATGATCCAAAACACACTGCAAAAGCAACCCAGGAGCTTTTGAAGGAAAAGAAGTAGAATAATCTGTAATGGCCAAGTCAATCACCTGATCTCAACCCAATTGAGCATGCTGAAGGCAAAACTAAAGGCAGAAAGACCGACAGCTGCAGTTAGAGCCTGGCAAAGCATCAGAAAAGAGGAAACCCAGTCTTTGGTCATGTCCATGGGTTCCAGACTTCAGGAAAAGCATCAGAAAGGAGGAAACCCAGTCTTTGGTAATGTCCATGGGTTCCAGACTTCAGGAAAAGCATCAGAAAGGAGGAAACCCAGTCTTTGGTAATGTCCATGGGTTTCAGACTTCAGGAAAAGCATCAGAAAGGAGGAAACCCAGTCTTTGGTAATGTCCATGGGTTCCAGACTTCAGGAAAAGCATCAGAAAGGAGGAAACCCAGTCTTTGGTAATGTCCATGGGTTCCAGACTTCAGGCAGTCATTGCCAGTAAAGAATTCTCAACAAAATATTTAAAATAAACTATTTATGATTATATTCACTTGTCTAATTACTTTTGTTCCCTTGAAAAAGGAAGGATGGCTACTCTTAAGAGCTGTAATTCCTAAACCCTTCCTCCAATGTGGATGAACATACCCTCAAATTACACCTGAGAGTGCGCACTTTCAGCCCATATCCATTTTATAAGTATAGCTTGACTATGTTTTGGTAAATACCTGAAAAAATTTCCAAATATATATGGACCTAACTGTATATCTATCTATGTTCAAATATACCTTTGCTGCTCTTCTTCTTGCTCTCAGTTGGTCTGAAGTGCACAGTTGGCAATGGACACACCAGCTGCATTGGCTCTGCCTCCATCAAACATGAATTCTTCTTATCCCAGCCAGCTCCTTCCAGATACAGACCGCGAATCCACACCCCATCCTAAAAAATGTACACTATCATTATCCATCACTACTAGCAACCGCGTGTCACCCTATAGGAGGCAAAATGAAGGAGGGAAAATATGTTCACCAGCACATCCAGTAGCTCGCAAAGAGCAACTTTAATGCTCATATGTAGAAAAAGCTTTTTCTACATGTGAGCATTAATATTGCCCTCTGCAAGCTACTGGATGTGCTGGTGAACATATTTTTGGTGCCTGACTCTCACGGTGGCACCCTTCACCATACTTCCACCAAGCACCCTCCTTCTAAAGGTCCTCAAGCCATTTGGAGTGCACTTGGATATACATACTGACCCTGCAGGAGGAAGACAGACCCATAGCCCCCTTCTACCTGTATCACCCTGCAGGAGGAGGACAGACCCATAGCCCCCTTCTGTCTGTATCACCCTGCAGGAGGAGGACAGACCCATAGCCCCCTTCTGTCTGTATCACCCTGCAGGAGAAGGACAGACCCATAGCCCCTTCTGTCTGTATCACCCTGCAGGAGGAGGACAGACCCATAGCCCCCTTCTGTCTGTATCACCCTGCAGGAGGAGGACAGACTCATAGCCCCCTTCTGTCTGTATCACCCTGCAGGAGGAGGACAGACTCATAGCCCCCTTCTGTCTGTATCGCCCTGCAGGAGGAGGACAGACTCGTAGCCCCCCTTCTGTCTGTATCACCCTGCAGGAGGAGTACAGACTCATAGTTCCCATCTGTCTGTATCACCCTGCAGGAGGAGGAGGACAGACTCATAGCCCCTTTCTGTCTGTATCACCCTGCAGGAGGAGGATAGACTCATAGCTCCCTTCTGTCTGTATCACCCTGCAGGAGGAGGACAGACTCATAGCTCCCTTCAGCTTGTATCACCCTTCAGGAGGAGGACAGACCCATAGTCCTCTTCTGTATCACCCTGCAGGAGGAGGACAGACTCATAGCCCCCTTCTGTCTGTATCACCCTGCAGGAGGAGGACAGACTCATAGCCCCCTTCTGTCTGTATCACACCCTGCAGGAGGAAGCCAGACTCATAGCCCCCTTCTGTCTGTATCACCCTGCAGGAGGAGGACAGACTCATGGCCCCCTTCTGTCTGTATCACCCTGCAGGAGGAGGATAGACTCATAGCTCCCTTCTGTCTGTATCACCCTGCAGGAGGAAGCCAGACTCATAGCCCCCTTCTGTCTGTATCACTCTGCAGGAGGAGGACAGGCCCATAGCCCCCTTCTGTCTGTATCACCCTGCAGGAGGAGGACAGACTCATAGCCCCCTTCTGTCTGTATCACCCTGCAGGAGGAGGACAGGCCCATAGCCCCCTTCTGTCTGTATCACCCTGCAGGAGGAGGACAGACTCATAGCCCCCTTCTGTCTGTATCACCCTGCAGGAGGATGACAGGCCCATAGCCCCCTTCTGTCTGTATCACCCTGCAGGAGGATAACAGGCCCATAGCCCCCTTCTGTCTGTATCACCCTGCAGGAGGATAACAGGCCCATAGCCCCCTTCTGTCTGTATCACCCTGCAGGAGGACGACAGACTCGTAGCCCCCTTCTGTCTGGAGATTACAATTCTCACCTTTGGAGGATACACCAGGTTATTGTCATCTACAGTGGAGACAATGAATTCCCAGGATAAAGAGTCAACGGAGACCTTAAAAAGACAAAACATTATTCATCATCACTGAATATTCCTTCTACAGATTTGTAGCTGCAGTATAGTTCTGTAATATTTGATACCACTATCATAACGCTAACATGTTTCTATATTTTCATGGCTTTCATTGCCCCTTTGCTACCCATAGTAGTGTACATTGCCCCATCTTCTCACATTATTTTGTCGGGCTGCGCTCTGGAGTACAGCAGTCAGGAAACCAGTTGGGAAGGTGAATGCAGAAAGCCAGAACAGAACTGGAGGGTGCGCAGTCTCTGCCCAGCGAGCAAACATCTCTACACGCGATGCCAGGTCCCGGGTCCAGGCTGCCAGAGGTTTCAAGGAAGGGTAAGCCTTTAGATGAAAAAAAGGGATAATAGTTTGGTTATTCCTCGTCACTTACATCCTAATATCTTGTTAGTTGTTTTCATGTTCACGTCAGTTGTCTAATGGTCATATTCTACAATCTTTTGGCCATGAAAGCTTGCTCATTCATTTAATCACCTGCTGCTGTAATTTATTATCCCTTCATATCTTGCACCATATCACCTCTTTTCATTCTGTCTTCCATCATCCCTCCTCATTCCATCCTCCATCACCTGTCTTCATCCTGTCCTTCATTATCCCTCCTTATCCCTTCCTTTATCACATCTTTATACCCCACCCTCCATAACCCACCCTCATCCCTTCCTTTATCACCTCTCTTAATCCCATCCTATACCACCTACCTACATCCTGTCCTACATCATCCCTCCACACCCCATCCTCCATCACCTCACCTTAATTGTCAGGGTCCTGTCCATGGCAGAAGTTCTGGAAGATCTGGCATTTCTGCCAGTACCCTGCATGGCCACAGAAGCACACATCAGCCTCTGTTTGGTGCTAGACGGTCTTTATAAGGAGGCTAATCACTTCCTCAAGTTGCTGGATGATCTCTAGCTCCCCGTGCCCTGTTCCTGTTTCCTGTGATTTCCTGATACCGACTCGGCTTGCTCCTGGACCTGTCTACTCTGCCTTATCCCTGATCTGACCTCGGCCTGGCTTAAGGATACTCTCTCTCTCGCTCTCCCTCTGTGTATGACCTCGGCTATCCCATCTGACTACGTCTGCTCTCATTCCTACCTGGTACCTGACCTTGGCTTGAACCGACTACCCAGTAAATATCTAAATCCCGGAAGGGCTTGCATACCACGCACAGGCGCCTCCTGTTTGCAGACCTATCGCCGTGCACCAGCTGTGATTCTGAGTGGACCACCAATCAGCACTCCTACAGGCGACTTGTGCAACTTTGGGCCTGACTCCCGCTGTCCCACTCTCAGGGGAGTCAAGAACTTAGCCGCAAGGGAAGCCCTCTCTCCATTGGCCTCCATCAACAGGTACGTGATATTATCCTACCCTTTATCTTTTTTCTTCATCCTATCACCTCATTTCATTCTGCCATCCATGACTCCTTATCCCATCCTCTATCACCTCTCTAATCCTGTATTCAATCATCGCTCCTCATCCAGTTATTGATTACCTTTCTTTATCCTACCCTCTATTATCCCTCTGCATCCTGTCATTTGTTACCTCTCTTGATCCTGGCTTCCATCTTCCTTCTTCATTCCACTCTCTGTTATCTTTCTTCACCCTGCCTTCCGTCATCCTTCCCCACCTTGTCCTCAATCCCCCTTCATAATCATGCTCTCTATCATCTCTCCTTGTCCCATCGTCTATTACCTTTCTTTACCATGACATCTATTCTCTCTCCCATCTTTTTTCTCCATCACTTCTCTTCATTCTGCCTTCCATCATCCCTCCTCACCCCATTTACTTTTACTTCTCTTCATTTTGCCCTTCCTCTTCATTCTTCCTCTCCTATCCTCTATCAGATTTCTTCATTTATTCATCATTCCCTCCATCATCTTTCGTCATCCTGTCTGCTATGACCTCTCCTCATCCTCCCCTCCTTCATCCTTTGTCTATAGTAAACACACCCACCTTTTCCCAGAGTGGTGGAACGCGGGCATCATGTATGCAGGTGAAGATCTCCTCCAGCTCTGTGGACATGACCACCAAACCTTGTATTCCATATTCCAGGTCCTGCAGAGATGACCTGCAATACAGAATATAATGCAATCAGTAATTGTTTTAGACACAGAGGGGTTGATTTACTAAAACTGAAGAATACAAAAGCTGGTGCACCTCTGCATAGAAACCAATCAGCTTCCGTTTTTTTTGTCAAAGCTTAATTGAGCAAGCTGAAGTTAGAAGCTGATTGGCTCCCATGCACAGCTGTACCAGAGTCTGTACTCTCCTGTTTTAGTAAATCAACCCCAGAGTGTGAGTATGGGCGTATAGGACGGCAGATAACTGTTTGAAAAGTTCTATATATTTAATATTCACATTTATAATAACAATAGGATTTTTCTACTCACTGCAGGTGAGTCTTGAACCTTTGGGTTATAATGCCACCTACAGAAGCATTGGACACTGGCAAACAAAAAACAAACAAACTGTAGACCAGCCCAGGGTATATGTCCTCCTACTACCAGAATGCCTCAGTTTAGTAGTAGCAGAGTACCGAGAAGACACAATGGTGGGGCCTATGTCACTCAATGGCTCCAGGAAAAGGATTTTAGGGTGAGTGCAAAAATTCTATTTTCTGCCTTGTCTATTGAGGGACACGGGAAGTCCATACCTTTCAGGATGTCTAAAAACAGTCCAGCTGAGGGGTGGGCAACACAGCAACAATCGCTAACAAGCCCAAAGCAACTACAGAAAACTGGAGATGGTATACATCTCAATTACCCGCTTGAAGGACCTTATGCCCTAAGCTAGCATTAGATGGGCCAGATATGTCCACCTGGCAAGACTTAGAAAGTGTGTGAATAGAAGACCAGGTAGAAAATGTACAAAAAACCCAAGAAGAGCACAAAGAACTAGAAGAGTGAGCCCGTAAGAAGAAAGGGGGAACCCTATCCTTGAGGCCACAAGCTGGAATGATGGTCTGGTGAGCCTTCTAGAGATGGTGGAACGAGAAGCCATGCCACCCTTCCAGGAGCCATCCAGAATGACAAAAAGGGACTCAGTCTGTCTGTAAAAAGCAGTGAGTGAGAGGTAGACTTGTACAGACTGAACCATATCCAGAGGGAATGCAGGGAAATTATCTTCTGATTAACCAGACCTGGACATTGGGACAGGAGAACAACATCCTGGTTTAAGTGAAAGGCAGAAAGGTCCTTGGATTTCAACACCACCGTGTCCCTATGCAAGACACAAAAGAGTTCTTCGCAGAGGTAATAACAACCAGATAAGAAAGCTTGTGGGTTGAAGAAGAGAGAGGAATGTCTGTAATGGTTTCAAGCGGCCGCTTCTGAAGCACAGAGAGAACCAGGTTCAAATCTCATGGAGTCACAGGTTAATGGATGGGGGGGAACCACATGGGAGTCCCCCTGCATAAAGGTTCTAATCAATAAGTAAGAGGCCAAAGGTCTATGACACAGAATGCAAAGAGCAGAAACCTGATCTTTGATGGCACTGAAAGCCAGATGCTGAACCAGACCCAACTGCAGGAAGGACAGGATATGTATTTAGAACCTGGGCCAGAGAGAAGAAATAAATTGCTGGAAAAATCACAGGTTAATCTTTACAACAGCAGAGCTGAAGAAAAGACTTACATCCTCCTAGGACACTGGATAGAAATTGGAGCATGTGAGTAGTAGGATGGGTTATACCTTGGGATGGCCTACACATTTTTGCTAGTGTCCAATTCTCTTGTAGGCAGCAGTATAACCTGAAGGTTAAACATTTCCTGTGTCCTTCAATGGACAAGAAAGAAATATAATTCATACCATTCCCTTTTACATTGTGAATTCTCGTTCCTTGGATCCACACTGACCTGATGGTGCTGAGCAGAGCATTATATCTCTGGATTTCTTGCAGTAGAACAACGTTGAGTGGATTGGGGTCATCGCTTAAAACTTTCACTGTTCCCTCATAATCGATTTCCTGAGGAATCTTCTGACGAACATCACTCAGTAACTCTAAGACCTAAGAAAGGAAGACATGGTTAAAGCGTGCCAGTTAACCACGTTAAACATTTAAAGGTGAAAGACCTGTCTGCTAACATACACTGCAAGGTGTCAGCTACTTGTATTAGCCAGAAAACCCTTTTCTTGTGCCTTTCTGAAACTGGTTTCAATTTTCTTTTATGGCCTTGACCTCAGGGCCAAGCCTCATCTACGGGCCGCACAGTGGCTAAATGGTTCGCACTTCTGCCTGGCAGTACCAGGGTCATTGGTTCGAATCCCAACCACGACACCATCTGCCTGGAGTTTGCATGTTCTCCCTTGCCTGCGTGGGTTTTCTCCGGGTACTCTGGTTTCCTCCCACACTCCAAAGACATGCTAGTAGGTGAATTGGATCCTGTCTAAATTGGCCCTAGTATGTGTATGTATGAATGTAAGTTAGGGACCTTAGATTGTACACCCCTTGAGGGGTTAGGGACCTTAGATTGTACACCCCTTGAGGGTTAGGGACCTTAGATTGTACGCCCCTTGAGGGTTAGGGACCTTAGATTGTACGCCCCTTGAGGGTTAGGGACCTTAGATTGTACGCCCCTTGAGGGGTTAGGGACCTTAGATTGTACACCCCTTGAGGGTTAGGGACCTTAGATTGTACGCCCCTTGAGGGTTAGGGACTGATGTGAATGTACAATATATATATATAAAGCGCTGTGTAAATTGATGGCGCTATATAAGTACCTGAAATAAATAAATGACTAAATATCATACAGATAGTCATAGAGAAGAAAATCTGACCTTGTCCTCTCTGCTTTGCCCTCCAGGAACGTTCTGTGTGACCTGAGGCTGCAGAGACAGCAGAGTGTCAAACAACGTTCGTGCCTCGGTGATCTGGCTGGCGATATCAGCATTGGGGTGCTGTCCGAATGCTTCTGGGTGATCCACGGCAGGAAGTAGGGAGATAAATTCCTTGTATGATGCCAGCAGGCCATCCCGAGGGATGTAATATGAATCCAGAGAGGAGAGCCTTTGGAGAAGACATATAAACATGCAGTGCAATGCCTTTACACTTTACAGTGTTACCCCAAAAAGAAAACTATCGTCATCTGCAGAATAAACCATACACAGACAGAATATATTGATTTTAACCCAAGCTGACCCGTATATTAGCACTGAGACAGAACAAGTAGTAAAGCCCAGTCACTATAATGAATTACCAATCAGGGAGCACAGCATACCTATGCAACAAGGACAATGGCTCTTCCCATGTATGCACATACACAGGGGCGGACTGATCATTTGGAAACTTGGGCACTGCCCGAGGGCCCAGGGTCAGTAGGGGGCCCCATGAGATGCCCCAGGTACCTTTTTCATAGGCTTTTTTGAGTTTGGGCAAGGACACAGGGGCTCCATGATCCCCTTTTGCCCAGGGGCTCCATGAGTTGTCAGTCTACCCCTGCACATACAGTATGTTCAAACTATACAGATAAACAAGGAATGAAGAACATGAACACATATCAATAAGGTTATCCACATGTAAGGCAATCCTTCAAGAGGGATTTAAGGTAGCTGCCGGGCTGACTTGATTTTAAAGGTGCAGGTCCAGGGCTGCCATCCTGATCCTAACTCTGATGCAGGGTCCAGGACAGCCATCGTGATCCTAGCTCCAATGCAGGTCCACAGCGGCCATCGTGATCCTAGCTCCAATGCAGGTCCAGGGCTGCCACCCTTACCTAGCTCCAATGCAGGTCCAGGGCTGCCATCCTGTTTCTAGCTCCAGTGCAGGTCCAGGGCTGCCATCCTGATCCTATCTCCAGTGCAGGTCCAGGGCTGTCATCCTGATCCTAGCTCCAGTGCAGGTCCAGAGCTGCTATCCTGATCCTAGCTCCAATGCAGGTCCAGGGCTGCCATCCTGATCCTAGCTCCGGTGCAGGTCCAGGGCTGCCATCCTGATCCTAGCTCTAATGCAGGTCCAGGTTTGCCATCTAGATCCTAGCTCTGGTGCAGGTCAAGGTCTGCCATCCTCACCCTAGCTCCAATGCAGGTCCAAGGCTGCCATCCTGATCCTAGCTTTGGTTCAGGTTCAGGTCTGCCATACTTTTCCTTACTCCGATGCAGGTCCAGGGCTGCCATACTGTACCTTGCTCTGGTGCAGGTCTAGGGTTGTCATTCTGATTCTAGCTCAGGTGCAGATCCAGGGTTTTTGTCTTGATCCTAGCTCTGTAGCAGGTCCAAGTCTTCCATCCTGATCCTAGCTTCCGAGCAGCTTCAGGTCTGCCACCCGGATCCTATCTCTGGTGCAGGTCCAAGTCTGCTATCTTGGTCCTAGCTCCAGGGCAAGTCAAGGATTGCTGTCCTGATCCTAGCTCTGGTGCAGATTCAGATCTGCAATGCTTGTCCTAGCTTCCATCCTGATCCTGGCTCCAGAACAAGTCCAGGGCAGCCATCCTTATCCTAGGTCTGGTGCAGGTCCAGGTCTTCCATCCTGATCCTGGCTCTGATGCAGGTCCAGGTCTGCCATACTGTTCCTTGCTCCGGTGCAGGTCCAGATCTGCCATACTGTTCCTAGCTCTGGTGCAGGTCCAGGGCTGCTATCCTGATCCTAGCTCCAGGGCAGATCAAGGGCTGCCATCCTGATCCTAGCTTCAGGCCAGGTCAAGGGCTGCCATCCTTATCCTAGGTACAGTGCAGGTTCAGATCTGCATTCCTGATCCTGGCCCTAGGTCTGCCACCCTGACCCTATCACCAGTTTATGTCCAGGGTTACCTTCCTTATCCTAGCAGCCATCTGATCCTAGCTCTGGTGCAGGTCAAGGTCTGTCATTCTAATTCTAGCTCCAGGGTAAGTCCAATGGCTGCCACCCTGATCCTAGAACCACAACATAGTACGTCATCAACCCAGAACATGCATGCCAGGTGGAAATTAAAATATTTCAGACTTTGATGGATGCATGCTCAATGGTAGGAAGTGAAGCTAGGCTTAGGTTGAAAGCCCTGAAGGCAGCACATTAACCAGATGTCTTCTTCCTGGTCTTTAGCCTTCCCTACTTTTCCAGCCATTTGGCACTTACACCTATCATCTGAAAGATGCGCAGGTGTCAGTGTACAATTTGAAAAAAACTGACAACAGCCAGGGGAAGAGATTTTACTGCAGATGGAACACACAGACTTTCTTCTACCATAAATACCAACCTGCTACAAATTTTTTGAAAAACAACTTTAGCTCAGTTTTAGTGTTTCAGGTAATAACTAGCAACACAAACCTGTCCCGTTCTTAATTCTTACACAGTGCTGTCGAAATGACAGCTCTGAGTTTTCCCGAGCGATCGGCAAGCAATCAGTCTGGTTCCTGATCATGTGATCACAAAGACAGTTATGACATGGTGATCACATGGGTTTGTTTACAACTCTGGTCATGGAGGTGTGAAAAGTAAAGACACCCCTGACCCTCTTTGGTTCAATAGTAGTCACAAAGTATATCAGCAGGGGAGACATAGACACAAATTTACACTTAAAATAACGGAGAGAGAGCATTATGAATAAAATAAGACCTTACTTGTAGAACTGAGTGGTAAGAGCTTGCTCACAGAAATAGTCATTAATATAAGTTCCGAGCAGTCGACGATCCCAATCATCCGTCACATGGCCACCATAGTTGACTCCAGAGATCAGATACTTGAGAGCTTCCCAGGGCGTCTCTTCGTACTCATCCAAGTACAAGCTGAGAAGATTCTCTGAGACCTGCAGAAGGAAGCATAAACTCCGATCTGTTGGCATACATCATTCACTGGAGGTAACCCAATCCTACATCACCAAGCACTAGAAAGGGGTGGTCTGACGGAGTCAAGGTACCCCAACATTGTATATACAGTTGCAAGAAAAAGTATGTGAACCCCTTGGGATTACGTGGAGTTTTGCATGAATTTGGCATAAAATGTGCTCTGAACGTCATCTAAGTCACAAAAATAGAAGAACACAGTCTGCTGAACATAATACTACACAAACATCAGATGTTGCCATGGTTTAATTGCACATAACATGTAAACATTCACAGTGCAGGGAGGAAAAAAGTATGTGAACCTTTGGACTTAATAACTGGTTGACCCTCCTTTTGGCAGCAATAACCTCAACCAAACGTTTCCTGTAGTTGCAGATCAGACCTGCACAACGATCTGGAGTCATTTTGGACCACTCCTCTTCACAAAACTGTTTCAGTGTAGCAATATTCTTGGGATGTCTGGTGTGAATCGCTCTCTTAAGGTCATGCCACAGCATTTCAATCGGGTTGAAGTCAGGACTCTGACTGGGCCACTCCAGAAAGGTATTCTGTGCTGTTGCAGCCATTGTTTTGTTGAATTACTTGTATGCTTTGGGTCATTGTCCTGTTGCATCACCCATCCTCTGCGGAGCTTCAGTTGGCGGACAGATGGTCGTACGTTTCCTGCAAAATGTCTTGATAAACTCTGGAATTCATTTTTCCCATCAATGACAACAATCCGTCCAGGCCCTGAGGCAGCAAAGCAGCCCCAAACCATGATGCTCCCTCCGCCATGTTTCACAGTGGGGATGAGGTTTTGATGTTGGTGTGCTGTGCCTTTTTTTCTCCACACATAGTGTTGTGTGTTCTTCCCAAACAACTCAATCTTGGTTTCATCTGTCCACAGTATATTTTGCCAGTAGTGCTGTGGAACATCCAGGTGCTCTTTTGCAAACTTCAAACGTGCTGCAATATTCTTTTTGGACAGCAATGGCTTCCTCCGTGGTGTCCTCCCATGTACTCCATTCTTGTTTAATGTTTTCCTTATTGTAGATGTGTCAACAAAAATGTTAGCATGTGCCATAGATTTCTGTAGGTCTTTAGCTGACACTCTGGGATTCTTCTTTACCTCATGCAGCATTCTGCGCTGTGCTCTTGCAGTCATTTTTACAGGACGACCACGCCTAGGGAGAGTAGCAACAGTGCTAAACTTTCTCCATTTGTAGACAGTCTGTCTTACCGTGGACACATGAACATCAAGGCTTTTGGAGATACTTTTGTAACCCTTTCCAGCTTCATGCAAGTCAACAATTCTTGATCGTAGGTCTTCTGAGAGCTCTTTTCTGCGAGGCATGGTTCACATCAGACAGTGCTTCTTGAAACCAGTAAACCCAAAACAGGTGTGTGTTTTTTAAGGGCAGGACAGCTGTCAGCAACACATCCAATATCATCACACTGATTGGAGTCAAGGTTGGCTCACTCCTGGCTCCAATTAGCTCTGGGAGAAGTCATTAAACTAGGGCCTCACATACTTTTTCCTCCCTGCACTGTGAATGTTTACATGTTATGTGCAATTAAACCATGGCAACATCTAATGTTTGTGTAGTATTATGTTCAGCAGACTGTGTTCTTTTATTGTTGTGACTTAGATGACGTTCAGAGCACATTTTATGCCCAATTCATGCAAAACTCCACGTAATCCCAAGGGGTCACATACTTTTTCTTGCAACTGTATTGTATTGCATGTATCAAGGGCTCATGATGAAGTCTGATTGGGTGAAAAGCATTGGGTAAAGTTAGAGCCAGTGACATCACACATTGCGATAATGGAACTTGGAGGAGGTGATTTAGCTGTTCCTTATCCTTTTATACTGCTTTAGGGCTCATGTACACTGCAGCTGCTAAACTGACGATCAAGAGCAGTTGTGCGTTTTTTTTCAGCAGCCCCTGAACTCTCCCTAATGTTTTCCTCTGTGTCCGTGTACACATCGTCCTTTACAGGCAGTTCAGTTTACAGTCGTTTTTTTTTAACACCCCAAACTTGCGTTCAGGAGATTTTACTGGCGTTTCAAACACCAAACGTTTGTAACCGCGGTTAACCGCGTTTGCGTTTAGAAGTGTTTTTTTTAACTGTTCCATATCCAGATGCTGTCCAGAGCCTTTTTTCTTCAACAGAAATGCATGCAAAGCATTTTCCATGTATTTAAATGGACCCGGTACACCAGCGCAGTCAGTTTCAGGTTTGGCGTGAAGGAAAAAAATGTTAGAACGTGCCGCATTATGCTCATAATGGGATCCATAGTGAATACAACTAGAAAAGACAGGTCATCTCAACACATACTGCTCTCTCTGCTTCTGCTCTCTCTATATCTCCCAAAACGTCAAAAATAGTTAATTATTTACTATTTTTCAGTGCATTCTGGGCATTTGGGAGGTTCTCCTGAGGTTATCTTTTAAAAACGCTTCTGAATGCAAAATACCCATAAACGTGTCTAAATAATGCAAACGCGGTTAAACTGACATTTTTTAACCTACGTTTTCCAGCAGTTTCCATCGTTCAGAAAGTTTTCCAAACGCCCCGTGTACATGAGCCCTAACACTTTATATCAACATTTTGAAAGCTATTTCTCCTTTTCCAGTTTCTTCTCACTTCTCTCCTGCATGTTCTTTTCCGATACACTTACTACTGAATAATCAATGACTGAGCTGTGAATGAACTGGAATGATACTAACTCCTACTTAAAGTGTATCTTCATTCATCCACTTTTTATTTCTGGGGACATTGAGTGGAGCACGGCCCACAGGATTAAAGTGGTTGTAAACCTCTGACGTTAAATATGAACGAAGCATATCCCTCTACAGTGTGCACTTGTCTCAATTCAGAGCATTAAGTGTCATTTCTGTCTGCTGCCTCCTTCCATCAGCATCAGTCAGTTCTGACAAGTTTTCCTGACATCAAGAGGGAAAAAGGTGACAAAGGAGGGAGCTCCAGCACCTAGCCCAGCAATGGGCAAACTACGGCCCGCGGGCCGTATACGGCCCGGCGGACCTTTTAATCCGGCCCGCGGAGCGTGGCAAACATCGGCTGTCAGAATGTGTGTAGGCGGGGCAGCGTGAGGAACGTGAGGGGAGCTAGGCTCCTCTCACAGTCCGCCCTAAAGACCGGAACGGCGCGGGAACACGGCGAGAGGAACGCACGGAGCAAAGGTAAGTGAATTGACACAGGGGGGACTTGGGGACTTAAAATGGGGGATGAATTAATATGGGGAATGAATTACTATATGGGGGATGAATTACTATGGGGGATGAATTACTATATGGGGGATGAATTACTATAGGGGGGATGAATTACTATGGGGGATGAATTACTATATGGGGGATGAATTACTATATGGGGGATGAATTACTATGGGGGATGAATTACTATATGGGGGATGAATTACTATAGGGGGGATGGGGGAAAAACGGTTAAATGGGGGGGGATGAATTACACTTAATTACTATATAGGGGATGAATTACTATGGGGGATGAATTACTATATATGGGGGATGAATTACTATATGGGGGATGAATTACTATGGGGGATGAATTACTATATGGGGGATGAATTACTATATGGGGGATGAATTACTATGGGGGATGAATTACTATATGGGGGATGAATTACTATGGGGGATGAATTACTATATGGGGGGGATGAATTACTATGGGGGATGAATTACTATATATGGGGGATGAATTACTATATGGGGGATGAATTACTATAGGGGGGATGAATTACTATAGGGGGGATGAATTACTATATAGGGGATGAATTACTATATGGGGGATGAATTACTATGGGGGATGAATTACTATATGGGGGATGAATTACTATGGGGGATGAATTACTATATGGGGGATGAATTACTATATGGGGGATGAATTACTATGGGGGATGAATTACTATATGGGGGATGAATTACTATATGGGGGATGAATTACTATATGGGGGATGAATTACTATATGGGGGATGAATTACTATGCTTACTATGGGGGAATATTACTATACTTACTATGGATGACACATACACATCATTCATCTACTCTTGGTCCGGCCCCCGGGTCCAATATATGAACCCATTGCGGCCCTCAAGTCAAAAAGTTTGCCCACCCCTGACCTAGCCTGTGATTGACAGCCTCAGCTCTGTTCCTCTGTGCAGCGTGAAGGGGGGGAGGATGGATTTACTTCCCTTCAGTCAGCTCTCCTCACTGAGCTCTGCAGAGTGAAACTTCAGTTCCCTACTCCCCAAAAGCTCAGACAAGCTGTATAAATTCTGTACTTTGAATTAATATAGAGAAGAGAAGGCTGCAATTAGACAGGTACAACTTATGTAGGAGGATTTGTTTTCATCTCTGTGTATCACCTGGGGCCACTTACTTCACTGGGTATACACTCACCGGCCATTTTATCAGGTACACCTGTTGAATGGCTTGGTAACACAAATTGCTAATCAGCCAATCAAATGGCAGCAACCCAATGAATTTAGGCATCTAGACGTGGTGAAGACAACTTGCTGAAGTTCAAACCGAGTATTAGAATGGGGAGAAAGGAGATTTAAGTGACTTTGAACGTGACATGGTTGTTGGTGCCAGATGGGCTGGTCTGAGTATTTCAAAAACTTCTGATTTACTGGGATTTTTCACGCACAACCATCTCTAGGGTTTAGAGAGAATGGTCCAAAAAAGAGAAAATATCCAAGAAAATATCCAGTGAGCGGCAGTTGTGTAGAGGAAAATGCCTTGTTGATGTCAGAGGAGAATGGGCAGACTGGTTCGAGATGATAGAAAGGCAACAGTAACTTATGACAATATGGACCAAAATCTCGGGAATGTTTCCAACACCTTGTTGAATCCATGCCACGAAGAATGAAGGCAGTTCTGAAGGCAAAAGGAGGTCCAACCTGGTACTAGGAAAGCGTACCTAATAAAGTGGCTGGTGAGTGTATGTAAGGGTTTACAACCACCTTAAGTAAGAAATGCATATTGAACGCTCTTTGATCATGAGGTCAGTTCATCTGGTGAGTTGCCATATCTGGTGGAAGTCACCTTTCTTTGTACTATATACAGGTGAAGGTTGTAAATGCTGCACCAGTTACATCTTTTATCCACTTGCCTACCAGGCACTTATACCCCCTTATTTACCAGGCCAATTTTCAGCTTTCAGCGCTGCCGCACTTTGATTGACAATTGCGCGGTCATGCAACATTGTACCCATATGAAATTGTGATCATTTTTTTCTCACAAATAGAGCTTTCTTTTGGTGGTATTTAATCGCCGATTGGGCGCTTTACTTTTTGTGCTATAAATAAAAAAGTTGCAAAAAAATTGAAAAAAAAAAAAAAAAGTTTCTTTGTTTCTATTATAAAATTTTTCAAACAGGTAATTTTTCTCCTTCACTGATGTGCGTTGATGAGGCAGCACTGATGGGCACTGATAGGCGGCACTGATGGGCACTGATAGGCAGCACTAAAGGGCACTGATAGGCAGTACTAATGAGGTGGCACGGATAGGCGACACTGATAGACAGCACTAATGAGGTGTCACGGATAGGCGGCACTAATATGCAGCACTGATAGGCGGCACTGATAGGTGACACTGATGATGGGTACTGATAGACGGCACTGACTGGCATCACTGCTGGGCACTGACTGGCGGCACTGACTGGCACAACGCTGGGCACTGACTGGTGGCACTGACTGGCAGCACTGCTAGGCTGCACTGGTGGGTGGCACTGGTGGGCAGCACTGGTGGGTGGGCACAGGTGGGTGGCACTGGTGGGCACAAGTGAGTGGCACTGGTGGGCACAGGTGGGTGGGCACAGGTGGGTGGCACTGCTGGGCACAGGTAGGGTGGCACTTCTGGGCACAGGTGTGTGACACTGCAGAGTGGCACAGGTGGATGCACTGCTGGGCACAGGTGGATGCACTGCTGGGACACAGGTGGGTGATCTGCTGGGCACAGGTGGGCGGAGCTAGTGGGCGCACTGCTGGGCACAGGTGGGCGGAACTTGCAGGGTGTCACTGCTGGGCACCGATCATCAGGGCACTGATCATCAGTGCCCTGATGATCGGTGCCGATCCTCGCTCTGACAACTGCCGGTTCTCGGCAGTACTTTCCTCACGATCTGACAGCGTGAGGAAAGTGCAGCCGAGAACCGGCACTTGCATTTCCCTCTGATCAGCGTGTCATTGGACACCGCTGATCAGGTGGTAAAAGGCCGCTGTGATTGGCCTTTTACCACATCACGTGATCAGCTGTGTCCGTAGGACACTGCGATCACGGAGATCGCCGGGTGCGCGCCCCCTGGGGCGTGCAGGAGAGTGCGTTCTGGGGGGACGTCCTATGACGTCCCACCCAGAACTGGCGGCCGCAGTGCAGCCGTCATTCGGCTATCTGCGGTCGGCTACTAGTTATTGCACATTTTCCAATGGTACACAGTCAAAACACGACGTCATTGATATGACAGAGTGTTGTTGTATACTTGGCAGTTGACCCTCTCTATTAAAGAGTTACAAATGGAAAGAAAAACAATCCTCTAAGACCTCGAACCTTGTAAAATAGTGGGTAATGAAAAATATGGAGGTCGATGGACCCTTCCACCAGCTAGGCAAGAGCCAGGTAGGGCTGGGAACCATGAAAAGATATGAGGTAGGAGACACTAAAGTGTTAATAAATCACCCAATGAGTTATGCTGGTAGAGAACTCTCATGGTCACATATCCTGCACAAGGTAGACGTACATCAACCAGTTACTGGAGCTAGAGGCATAGGCATTGGGTCCCTCAAAGTTGTGTTAAAAACCTAACCAAATGTAAAACAATAAAAACTATAACACAGAACTGGTGAAAATCTGTAATTGGTAGAGTACACAGTAGTGTAAAATCGTCAACCCTTTGTTTGGGGGGGATAGTATTGGGGTTGATTTGGGCTTGGCCAAAGTATTAGCAAAGCTGGCCTTAGCCTACCATTCTGTGTAATGAAAGGTGGACATATAGTTGCATAATGTACTTCCAATGGGATTGAGCCTGCTATCAATCCTCCATCTTCTCTTCTGGTTTTTGTAGACCTGTGAAGTTCTGGGCCTATAGAGAATTAACTTCAGGTCTGGACTGGTTCATAGTTCAAGTACGAGCTGCTACATGGAGGACTACAAAGATCCAAAATATAAATTAATATTGGAAGGTCTCACCTCAAAATCGGAGTCGTTAAAGCCGTACACGATGTTCCAGCCTAGCTGGAGGAACTTCCTTCTCTCCAGGAGAATGCTGTGGAAGAAGCAGAGGGGAGAAGAGCAAACGACGGTAGCTGGAGGTCTTGGTGCAGCGGGAGAACTGAGGCTCTGTGATCAGCTGGTAGAGGCGCTTCAATGTTGGCGCGGAGGCCCTGAACAACACAAAAAACATCATCAACATAGTAGAAAGAAAAAGTCCAACTGAAAAAAAAAAACAATTCTACTACCAATAGAGGTGGAATTTGTATTCTTATTAGTCTCACAGTAGGCTAAAGCAGCCTTACTCCAACCAGGGTGCCCAGGTACCCAGGGGTGCCTTGAGGTTTCTTCAGGGGTGCCTTGAGGCTTCTTCAGGGGTGCCTTGAGGCTTCTTCAGGGGTGCCTTGAGGCTTCTTCAGGGGTGCCTTGAGGTTTCTACAGGGGTGCCTTGCAAAATGTCTACAAATTGGCCCCAAATTTGTATATAAACCTGCAGGTGGATCAAGCCTGTCTTTTAGTTACACAAAGCCACAGATTTTCATCCATTGTACACCATTACGACCTTCGGCGTCTTGACAACCAATGACATCATCAGTTGATAAGGAGGATGTCAGCTGCCAGCATCCTAGTTTGACCCACCCCCGCCCCTCTCCATCAGTGCCTCTCCATTAGCTCAGTGATGGATAAAAACTGAAGGAGAGGAGAAACATTGGAATACTAGTCAGTTACCAGTGTGCAAAAATGTATTTTGGAAAAATAAATCACCTCTAATGTTGGGTGTCCCTACGTGTGTGGATGTTGCTGGGTTATATAGAACTATTAGAATAGTTTCTCACATTTTAGAATGGGCGCCTCAAGACTGTCCATCATTTTAAAGGGTGCCTTGACTACCAAAAAGGTTGAGAAACACTGGGCTAAAGCTAAAACTTTTATTTTAGTTTTGGGTGGAGCACAGTATAGGTTAGAACTTTTCTGTCAGGTCTTTATTGCTGAGAGTCACCCTCTGTGTTTGTCCTAGTTACCATTTCATCAGGACAAAAAACAATGATGGGATGTTTAAAATGTTGGGTAACAGCTGTTGCCAGAAAAAGAACAAATGGGGACACTTGTTATTTATTTATTTTTATTTCAGGTACTTATATAGCGCCGTCAATTTACGCAGCACTTTACATATATATAGTACATTCACATCAGTATCCCTAACCCCAAGGGCGTACAATACAAAGGTCCCTAACCCTCAAGGGCGTACAAATCGAAGGTCCCTAACCCTACAATCTAAGGTCCCTAGGGGGGTACTACCCTCAAGGGGTGTACAATCTCGAAGGTCTAACCATCTTAAGGTCCCTAACCCTCAAGGGGCGTACAATCTAAGGTCCCTAACCCTCAAGAGGGGTGTACAATCTAAGGTCCCTAACCCTCAAGGGGGCGTAGGTCCCTAACCCATCAATCTAAGGTCCCTAAGGTTCCCCCTAATCCTCAAGGGGCTGTACAATCTAAGGTCCCTAAACCTCAAGGGGGGTACAATCTAAGGTCCCTAACCCTCAAGGGGCGTACAATCTAAGGTCCCTAACCCTCAAGGGGCGTACAATCTAAGGTCCCTAACCCTCAAGGGGCGGTACAATCTAAGGTCCCTAAACCCTCAAGGGGCGTACAATCTAAGGTCCCTAACCCTCAAGGGCGTACAATCTAAGGTCCCTAATCAAGGGGCGTACAATCTAAGGTCCCTAACCCCCGTACCAAATCTAAGGTCCCTAACCCTCAAGGGGTGTACAATCTAAGGTCCCTAACCCTCAAGGGGTGTACAATCTAAGGTCCCTCAAGGCGTACAAAAACCCTCAACTACAATCTAAGGTCCCTAACTCACACTCATCATACATACACATACTAGGGACAATTAGACAGGAACCAATTCACCTACCAGCATGTCTTTGGAGTGTGGGAGGAAACGCGCACAGGTAGAACATGCAAACTCCAGGCAGGTGGTGCTGTGGTTGGGAATTCGAACCAATGACCCTAGTAAACTACCAGACAAAAGTGCTAACCATTTAGTCACTGTGCTGCCATAACTGCCAAAGAGGGATTTCCCTTTATTTTAGGCAGATTTCCTCTCACTTCCTGCTGTGTCTCTGGGTCAGGAAATGGAGGCAATTCTCTGTAGCAGGGACACTGACAGCAAAATAAACATCACATCAGTTATAATGATTCCCCCTTGGCTAGGGATTCACTTTAAAGAAACCCATAGAGAAGAAGAAAATACAGGGGTCTGGCATTGCTGGCCTCCTGAAAATGAAGTTTCTTGGCTGTTCCTGGCATCAGTATTTTTAATAATTGCTGACCAGGACCCAGAATAGATCATGAAAGTGAGATTGGAATCAGATCACATACTCTAAACCCCTGTCTACTCTATTAAAAACAAAACAAAAAACAAAACGTGGCATTAAATACACCTTTATGTGTAAGTTCACCTTTCTAGAACAAAATGAAGAGGTGAACTAATACTTAGCAAATAATAAAGGTATAGCGAGCGCACTATATCTGTGGGGGGGGGGGGGGGGGGGGGGGGGGGGGGGGGGGGGGGGGGAACAGCAGCTGTGCACATAAGGTAACCAAGAAAACCTCAATCAAACAATAAACAGGGGGTGCAGCGCTAAAAACATTAATGATATGAATAACAGTCCATAAGCAAATATAAAACAACATTAAAAGGCATAAATCTTTGATAGTTCAAAGGGTGACTTTTCAGTGCTCATAAAGTGCCAATAAATTCTTGATGAATCGGTGCTTGTGCAATAATTATAGAAGAATTGCGCACTCACCAGATGCGCAATAACAATGCGCATATAAGTATGAATCCAGATATACAAAAAAATAAAAATAAAGAAAAAATACCTAGATCAAGGTTTGATCTAGTTCAGTGCCAGGGTAAGTGTTTGGGTCAAGGTCAGGGTCAAAGGTCAGGATTTTTAAAAAAAAATTTGTATCAGTGTCAGTGTGTTTTAGGTAAAAAAAAAAAAAAAAAAAAGTGCACTATTGTTTCTGGGCCGTACTACGGGTACAAACAACAAATAACATACACATATATGGTATCGCTGCGATCGTCAAGAGCTGGAGAATTTATTTTGGGTTGTTCTTTGATGGTAGGTTATGGTAGTAACAAGAAACACACAGCGAAATTAAAAAGAATTTTTTTTTTCACTATTTTGGCCAGTTTTCCTTTGATAATAAAAAAAAAAAACCCAGGAGATATCCATTACCATTACCACCAAATGAAAGCCCAATTTGTCCTGAAAAAAAACACGGTATAATTTACCCGAATGTACAAAATAGTTGTGATGATATGGACGGTTTTAACTAACACAGGTCAACGTTGTAAAATTGTGCTTAGGCATTTAGATTTGTTTTACCCTTAGGCGTGAAGGGGTTAATAGACCAAAAGGAAGCACATAATAGAGGTTCATTGTTAGGGATTACAAGTGCTTCACATCATGCATAGCCTGCAGGTAGGAAGAGTACTGGGGTCAGGAGGTGGAGGTCACTTCCTGCATGGACATGGAGTACATACGTGTATAAAGGTGATGTGTCATACAAGGATCAGGGTCTGACAACCACATGTCTCACCTTGGGTGGTTCAGTTGTCATCTTGATGCTGGCCTGCAGGATGGAGATGGGGAACTCAGGGGTGTGGGCTGGAGCTGAGCCACAGTCTGAAGCTGCTTGGGTGTGGATTCTCCACCTGCAGCTGCTCCACCAACTTGTCCAGCTGCGGCATCCATGAAAGAGAGAGAGGTGACAATTGGCCAGGAACACCCAGTGACCTGAAAACACAGAAACAGGTCACTATAGATCAACTCCAGTCTAATGGGGGAAAAAGGACGAGGAAGTGATTTACTAATTAAATACATGCAATAAAAGCATTTGTATTTCTGTCCATCCAGTCCTGAGATTTACACAGCTCTACATGCAGTGGTGTATTTAGGTTTCGTGCTGCCCTAGGCAAACACAAAAATTGGCTCCCCCCATTGACGAACACTCCAACCCCCACCTGAGAGAGCCTTCCACTACCACAGCCCCCCATACACTTGCAACCCCCACCCCGACAAGAGAGAAGACACTCACCTTCACAGCTCTGGACATCCCCGGGGAACAAGAGTCAGGCATTGCATACACCATCAAGCAGCCTGCAGCCTCTCCCAGATCCCACCTGGTTCCCGTGCTGAGTGTGTCCCCTTCTTCCTTCTTCCTTTCAGGGGACAGCGCTGCCCCCCTGAAAAATGCTGCTGCCCCCCCCTGAAAAAAATGCCGCCCTAGGCAAATGCCTTGTGGTGAATACACCCCTGTCTACATGTCAACAGAGCTAGGTTATCGTCCTGACTTGTCTCCACTACAATTAGGACAAAACAGTTTGGTCACCTCCCCTGCCCCCATCCTCTGATTGGACAGTGATGGAGCAGCAGCAGTTCGCTGTCTCTCCTCCCATCAACATGTGGCTGGTTAACACGTGTGCAAGCAGCTCAGCCGACTCCTAGTGCTGCTGCTCCCTCTTCCAGTCTGAGTGCTGTTGTACATTGTATTACAAGAAGCTGGTAAGAAGACAAACGTAGACAATTATACTATCAACACTGAGCTATAGACCTCTAATATATCCTGCGCAGGGGTGGACTGACAACTCATGGGGTCCCCGGGCAATAGGGGATCATGGGGCCCCCTGTGTCCTTGTCCACATTAAAACCACATTCAAAAAAGCCTATGAAAGGTACCAGGGGCATCTTATTGGGGCCCCCTACCGACCCCAGGCCCTCGGGCAGTGCCCGAGTTTCCAAATGGTCAGTCCGCGCCTGATCCTGCGGGTTTGGTGCGCTCCTGAATGCATGGCTCAGTGCAGCTAAGCACAGGTGCAGTGCAGGTAAACCACAGTGCACCAGTGTGAAAGCAGCCTTTTAGGGGGCTCAGGACAGTAAGCATTTGTTTACATTTGCAGTTTGGAGGGGGGCGGTAAAACCCGCGGTAGTTGCCAACAAAACCGGTTACCAAATCACTTAAAGTGGTTGTGAAGGCTCAAAGTTTTTTACTTTCGTACATTCTATGCGTGAAGGTAAAAAATCCTTCTGTGTGCAGCAGCGCCCCCAACCCCCTCAATACTTACCTGAGCCCCATCAAGATCCAGCAATGCGCACAACAGCCTTGGCTGTCCCGGTCTCTGCCTCCTTATTGGCTTCCACTGCTGTCAATCACAGCCAGTAAGCCAATGAGGAGAGAGAGGGGGCAGGGCCAAGCGGCAGCTCCGTGTGTGAATGGGCACACGGAGCAGCGAGTGCTCCGATAGCAAGCAGCTTGCTATGGGGGCACCCGAAAGAAAGGAGGAGCTGGGAGAGCCTGCGAGGGACCCGAGAAGAGGAGGATCTGGGCTGCTCTGTGCACACAGCAGGTAAGTACAGACATGTTTGTTATTTGGAAAAAAAAAAATTAACCTTTAGCTTTAATCGCTTGCTCTTAAGTGAGGCCTTGCTCTTCAAAAGATTGAGCACCCCTGTTGTATAGGAACCCATGATTTCCAATGGCTAAAAGATTGAGCACCCCAGCTGTATAGGAACCCATGATTTCCAATGGCTACAAGATTGTGCACCCCTGCTGTATAGGAACCTTTGATTTCTAATGACTACAAGATTGTGCACCCCTGCTTTATAGGAACCCATGATTTCCAAAGGCTACAAGATTGAGCACCCCTGCTGTATAGGAACCCATGATTTCCAAAGGCTACAAGATTGAGCACCCCTGCTGTATAGGAATCCATGATTTCCAATGACTAAAAGATTGAGCGCCCCTGCTGTATAGGAACCCATGATTTCCAATGGCTAAAAGATTGAGCACCCCAGCTGTATAAGAACCCATGATTTCCAATGGCTACAAGATTTTGCACCCCTGCTGTATAGGAACCTATGATTTCTAATGACAAGATTCTGCACCCCTGCTGTATAGGAGTCCATGATTTCCAAAGGCTACAAGATTGAGCACCCCTGCTGTATAGGAATCCATAATTTCCAATGACTAAAAGATTTAGCACCCCTGCTGTATAGGAATCCATAATTTCCAATGACTAAAAGATTTAGCACCCCTGCTGTATAGGAATCCATAATTTCCAATGACTAAAAGATTTAGCACCCCTGCTGTATAGGAACCCATGATTTCCAATGGCTAAAAGATTGAGCACCCATGCTGTATAGGAACCCATGATTTCAAATGGCTAAAAGATTGAGCACCCCTGCTGTTTAGGAACCCATGATTTCCAAAGGCTACAAGATTGAGCACACCCTGCTGTATAGGAACACATGATTTCTAATAGCTAAAAGATTGAGCACCCCTGCTGTATAGGAACCCATGATTTCTAATGGCTAAAAGATTGAGCACCCCTGCTGTATAGGAACCCATGATTTCCAATGGATACAAGATTGAGCACCCCTGCTGTATGGGAACCCATGATTTCCAATGACTAAAAGAATTGAGCACCCCTGCTGTATGGGAACCCATGATTTCTAATGGCTGCCCAGGTAACAACAAACAAAGTCATACACAAAAAGCAATATAAAATACGATCGGTCATATTACTAACTGAGCACTAGATGGCAGCCGAGATCACAGAATGTGTATCTGAATAGAAACAAATCCTCCCCCAACTTCACACACTGGAAGGTGTTACTTTCCTCATTAAATGCACTCACATACATGACACCCTGACACCTCGCTGATATACGTGTGAAGGATAATTACTATTACCAATACATTCAATTAATGCTATATAATTAAAGTGATGATTGAAATGATAAAAATAGGATTTTTGAGTTGCCTGTGAAATCCTGTTTGTGGAGCAGAGTACAGGATCTTCAGACTTTATCCATAGATTATATGCAGCTTCCTTCCGATGATTGGACACTGGTAAAATAAACCTGCAGGGACGTCCACCCGCTCCTCCACCCCCCAATTCCCAGCTAGCTTTAGTTTTGTAGCAAGCAATATGTTGATTATAAAGAACAAATGGACAACCGCCGGTGTCCTGTACTGTATTCCAAGAGAAGAATTTTAAAAGTAGTTACAAAATCCTGCTCTCTAAATGACTAAGTACAGAACACAGGATCTTTACTATAGGATGTCCCAAAGCAGTCCTACTGAACGCAGCAAACAAATACAAACAGGTCCATAAAATAAACAGGTCAAGAAAGGGCTGGAAGCACCCTACTCCTGAACCTGACATCAAAGAAGCATGAAAATCCGCTTGGTAAAATGTAATCGTGTGAACAGAACACCAGATGGCAGACTTGAAACCTGGGAAACAGATGGCTGACACTGAAAAGCCCTACAGGCTCGAATGTTGACTTGTCTAATCCATCTAGCGATGGTGGAGCGAAAGGCAGCCCCCTAAGGAGACCTGTGGAAAATCTGATTGCCGACTAAAAGACTGTAGTCAAGAGGTAGGCTCTCACAGCGTTGTACCATGTCAAAACAGTGGAAAAAAAAAAAAACCTTGGGATGTTTCAGGTCAGGACAAAGGTAGGAAGAACAATGTCCTGGTTGAGGTGGATGGGGGAAAACCATCTTAGAAAGAAATCATGCCTTAGACCTTATATCACGTACCTGGTGATGGAGACCAATGGAGAGAGGGCTTCCCTTGCGGCTAAGTTCTGGACTCCCTGAGAGTGGGACAGCGAGAGTCTGGCCCAAAGTTGCACAGGTCGCCTGTAGGAGTTCTGGTTGGTGGTCCACTCAGAAGCACAGCTGGTGCACGGAGATAGGTCTGCAGACAGGAGGCGCCTGTGCGTGGTATGCAAGCCCTTCCGGGATTTGGATGTTTACTGGGTAGTCGGTTCAAGCCAAGGTCAGGTACCAGGTGGGAATCAGAGCGGTCGTAGTCAGATGGGGTAGCCGAGGTCATTCACAGAGGAGCGAGAGAGAGAGAGAGAGAGAGAGAGTATCCGTAAGCCAAGCCGAGGTCAGATCAGGGGTAAGGCAGAGTAGACAGGTCCAGAGCAAGCCGAGTCGGTAACAGGAGATCACGGGTCAGAAGTCACAGGAACAGGGCACGGGGAGCTAGAGATCATCCAGCAACCAGAGGAAGTGATGAGCCTCCTTATAAAGGCCGTCTGGCACCAGACTGAGGCTGATGTGTACTTCTGCAGCCATGTAGAGTATTGGCAGAAATGCCAGATCTTCCAGAACTCCTGCCGTCGACAGGACCCTGACACCTTAGGACAGCCTTGTGCTTGTTGAATACTAGGAAAGGCTCTTTACAGAATAAAGATGATAAATCAGAGACCAGCCCATGCAGAAGCAACGAGAAAAACCACCTTGCGTGTGAAGTCAGACAAGGAAATATCTTGAATTGGTTTGACAGGCATCCTCTGAAGAGCCAAGAAAACCAGGTTACATGGAAATGTACAGGGGAACAGTAGGTGCCACACCCTGCAAAAAAAGGCCTTAACTAAGAACAAGAGGCCAAAGGACTCTGAAACAGAATGACCAGTGCCGTTGATCATACTCAAGGCCAGATGCTGGTCCATACCATAGAAAAAGGTATACACCTGGATTAATACCCCTGGAGGCAAATCGACGGTGCTCCAAAGCTCACAATGTCTTCTCGGCACTTGTAACAGCATAGAAGTATAAGATGAAGAGCCAGCAACTCGTCTTCCCAATAAATGTTCTTCTGTAATAAAGGGTACAATGTGCAAATTGCGGCAGCTTACGCGATTCGGTGGAAAACATTATTCATAGCTATGAATAAGGATTCTCACCAAAACATGTATACTGCTGCAATTTGCATATTGTACTGTTTATTACTGAAGAACATTTATCGGGAAGACGAGTTGCCAGCGTTTCATCTTATACTTCTATGTTGTTCCTGACCAGACTGGCGATAAGACAGAATGTGCCTCAGGAATAAATTTTATATAGCCACACGCCATGCAAGTAGACCTTCCAGGTGCGATAGTAAACTGTGCAAGAAGTTGCCTTCAAGAGGGTAGGGATGACCAAATACATTAGGCCCCTTTTCCTCAGGACCTGGGCTCCAACAGCCATGCAGGTAAAGCCAGCAACCAAGAAGTAGCATGGTGGTCTAGCCCATGGGACAGAAGGTCCAGACAATCTGAAGGGCCCACAGAGAGTCTGCCAAAAGTCTGAATATATCATAATACCACATATTTATGGCCAGTTCAGTGCAGTAAGAATCAACGAAATGCCCTCTCTTAGGCAGTAGATGATGGAGGAGCTGTAGTGAAAGAAAAGGCTTAGCTCAGGTTAAACTGGTCCTACAGAGTCGCACTGCCCAGTTTATTGATGAATCTGGATGCCAGCACCTCTCATTTGTGGCAAAGGACTTGGAACAACTCTGGGTGAAGAAACCATTCCCCTGGGTTCAGGTGCTGAAAACAAGGTTTACCTGCCAGTTTTCCATGCCTGGGATGTGGAGGGTGGACAGGACTGGGACATGAAGTTCTGCCTGAGTAAGAATCAAGTCAGGTTCTCTTTGAGAAGTACAACTTCAGGTGCCTTTTTGATCATTGCTCTAGGTGATGACGCTGTCATGGCACTGTCCAACGAGATTCTGGTTAGGTCGCCTCACAGCTGAGAGGTCAAGCATTGAAGGGACAACCTGAGTTGGGTTCAACCACGACTTTGGAGGTTCAGTATCCATCCGAATACCTGCAGAATCTGCACTGTCTGTTGGACATTGCCTGACAGGGATTGGGTGGAATCGTTCAGGTATCCCACTACATGAGTATACATGAAAACTCTTGGGTATGCCACTACACTCCCTGAGAGCACAGTAGAGATAGGACCAGGGAAAACACCTTGGTGAAGGCCCAGAGGGCCTTGGACAGTGACAAATGACAATGCTGTGTGCTCACATAAAAATGCAGATAGCCTTGATGGGGTGGAAAGTTAGAGATGTGTGAGTAAACATCCCTGATGTCCACAGAGCAAGATGGTCCCTTGGTAGAAGGGAAGCAATGACTCACCTGGCCATTTCCATACAGAACGTTTGAGAGTTTTTGTGCCCAAAACGTTTGGAACTGGCTAAGATGGCTAATTTGAAAGCATGAAGTGGGGAAGAGCCAGAGTTTGTAGCCCCTGGAAGTAATGATCTGGACCCAAACATCTGAGAGATCTTGAGACCAGATGGCCAAGAAAGCCGATAGATTTTCCCCCCCCCCCCCCCGCTTTGAGACGTGGGGTTGCCCCTTTATTGGAAGTGGGGTTGCCCCTTTTTTGGAAAAAGAGCATGGAGCCAGACTAGACTGATTTGAACGTATGGGAAAGCTGTCAACCGTTGAAGCCAACAGTCTATGGCCATGGTATAAGCAGAAACAGGCCTAAAGACTTTACCAGTGGAAGCTGCACTACTTCCAGAAGGCCACACAGTAAATAGGCATGTGGAGCATGTGAGGAGGCTGGGGAGTTGCTGAAGGCCAACATTTAAAGGACAACTGTACTCAAGTACCTTTAAAGGGTTCCCTTGGTCTAAGTAAAGGTAGTCTATCTGCCCAGATAGAGGAAGAAGGCATAAGAAGAAACCTGGCAATTCAGTGGCGTGTGTCTGCTATCATCCACTTATGACACACTATACTACCAGTTCCCTACACTTCCACAACTATGGCTTTTGCTTTCATCTCTGGTGCTGCTTCAGAGCTGACTGCATACAGGCATCATATAGGGATCTGGTGTATAATTGGTGCCCTTTTCCCTCAGACCCCTGTATGTTATGGGGTAGGATGTAGCAGATCTGAGCCTCACCTTCCTTCACTCCTTCTTTGATCATGCGAGTAGCAATGGGTGCTTGGCCTTGTCCCAGGACAGAGCATGGAAACGCTGCGACATGTGGCACTGCTCGGCTAGTTGTAGAAGTCCGCCTGTGGGATCCACGCCTGGAGAGAGAACAAACACCAGTGGGGAACGAGGGAGAGAGTCATCAACCACCTAAAAGAAAAAAGAGGAAGCCAGCTTATGTTATGGACACTGGAACAGCTGATTTAGGTCAACCTACTGAAAAGTGATATTTCAGTTATAGGTGGAGAATGTGAGTCGAGTCAGTTCTTGGCTTCTTTTTTATTTTCAATACTTTTTTGATAGTTTTCATTACATCGCACACAACATTTCAGAACATAGTGCATTAGCCAGGCATTTAGGCCAATGATATATTACAAGACAAAACATAGCAAGTGTATGTAAAATACTACAGACATTCCAACCAATGTCTGGCTTCATGTCCCAGGCCAGTGATGGTTGTGTGTGCAGGAAACAAGTGAGAAAAAAATGATAGGAAAGGAAGACTGGGTGAAAGAAGAAAGGAAAATGAAGGAAAAGGAGAAGGGTGAGAGAGGTTCTGAGGGCAGGGGAGGAGCATTGTGGAAGAGTGGATGACGACTCGTCTGCTACAAGGAGGTTGGACGTTCGTTCACAAATGTAGCGGTCAAAGCCTGAGGGGATACATTTTGAGATCCATGGATCCCATGTTTTGTAAAATACTACAGACATTCCAACCAATGTCTGGCTTCATGTCCCAGGCCAGTGATGGTTGGTGTGCAGGTAACAAGTGAGAAAAAAATGATAGGAAAGGAAGACTGTGTGAAAGAAGAAAGGAAAATGAAGGAAAAGGAGAAGGGTGAGAGAGGTTCTGAGGGCAGGGGAGGAGCATTGTGGAAGAGTGGATGACGACTCGTCTGCTACAAGGAGGTTGGACGTTCGTTCACAAATGTAGCGGTCAAAGCCTGAGGGGATACATTTTGAGATCCATGGATCCCATGTTTTGTGAAAAGTACGTATGGTGTCAGTGAGTTTGGCTGTCAATTTATCGTTTGCGAGCATCCAGTGAACCGCTAAGTCAGGCTTGCCACATCTTGTGCAAAGTGCCATTTCTTTGCAAAGTGCCTGGCGCTTTCAACACGGGAACACCTCATCATCATCCACTCATCATTTCCTCTCTGCTCTTTCAGGTCAATGACTCCACTCTTTCCTGCAACATTAAGCCACTTTGCACGCCTGCAATCTACACCTGCATCGCTGTAACCATTAGTAACTGACTCCACTCTTCTCTGAAAACACTGGGATTCTTTGCATGGCTGAATCCACATTAACCGTGCTAAGACTATTGTTGTATTGAGTTACACTCACTTTCCATGGCGCTTTGACCAAGAGCACCTATCCTTATCTTGGTGTCCCCGTCCTGCTTTGCAGTCGGTTTAGGGTAGAAAACCTCCACTTATCTGTTTTATGAGCTGTTAATTGAACAATTAACCTTCCCCTATCCCATGCCAGTGTAAATTTAGTTCAACTGTTAGGACGGCTTGCGAGGTCAGGCTTGCCACTTCTTGTGCAAAATGCCATTTCTTTGCTAAGTTCCTGGCACTTTCAACACAGCACTTTAACCTAGGTACTTTTTCAACAAGTACAACCAGTAGTGCTCCATGCCAAGTTGTCTGGAAGTTCCTTTTTATCTGTTCTCTCTCCCTCAGCCTCCTTCTTTCTTCTTACCTCCTACATGCTCATACTAATCTCATTATTTTCAATAATGCTCCTCAAACTCTCATTTCTTTACCCCCCCCCTCTCTACCCCACAACCTATACATATCTCCCTCACTTTTTGCCCTGTCATTATTACTGCACATATCACCTCCTGTTCTTTCTGAGTCCACACAGTGTCACCACTTCTAATTCACTGCAACATCTGCCATTATATAAATCCTGCTCACACCTTACCGCCCTCACCATCCTACTACTCCTAACTTCTGGGGATATCGCTCCACAGAATGGCCTTCCACCAGCTCACTCTAACCTACAGAACTGGCAGTCTACTTTCCCTGGCAGCAGCCAAAACCATCACTCTCTTATCTCCCCTGGCTTCCACACAACAGTCCCCCCCTTATGTGTGCCCTCTGGAATGACCGCCAAGTCTCTAACTTGCTATTACTGAAACCTGGCTCCAGGAATCTGAGACTGGGCTGCCCTCTCCCATGGTGGCCTTCTCTGGACTCACTCACCCAGTCCCAACAGATGAAAAGGAGGAGGAGTTGGACTTCTCTCCCCACAATGCACCTTCCAGGTTATTCCTACACCTCCCTCTCTTTCCCCCTGTTCTATTGAAGTGCACTGCATTCGTCTTGTTTTCTCTCCAGTTTGTCTGAGGTTTGAAGTCGTTTACCGGCCTCCTGGCCCTGTGTCATGCTTTTTGGATGATTTCTTCACATAGCTACCCTACTTTCTCTCCTCTGAAGTACCCGCCATAATCCTTGGTGGTGTTCAAATTCCAATCAATGGTAACGCCTCAGCCACTTCTCAACAACTCAACAAACCACCACTCACTCCAATGGCAACACCCTCGACCTCATATCCCCCCACCTCTGCACTCCCTACAACCTCTCCAACATCCCCTTTCTTCTCTCTGATCACAACCTTATCAGTTTCACAATCTCCCTGTTTCCTACTTCCCATGCCTCCAACCCGCAAATGGTTACCCGCAGGAACCTTTGCCATCACAACCCTTCCCATCTTGCTACTGACTGCCTTTATGATAAAATCGCACCCCTGTCCTGCTCAGACCTGGCCACTTCTTCCTACAACAACACGCTGTCATCCACCCTGAACACACTCACTTCTTTCTCTACATGCAGAACCAGGTCTTGCCTGCTAGAACCCTGCAAACAGACGACACCAGAAGTCTCAAGAGACGCAGCTGTGCTCTTGAGAGAGCATGGCATAAAACTAAATCCCTGCAAGACTTTACCCTCTACAAATCTGCCCTTCTCCAATACAACTTCTGCCTCCACACTGCTAAACAAGCCTACTACACCACTCTCATCAAAACCTTCTCTTCCAAACCTCGTCATCTCTTTTCTACCCTTAATTCCTTACTTCGCGCCCCCACTGCCTCCAGCCACCAACCTACTTACCGCCCAGTTGATTGCCAATCATTTCAAAAACAAAATTGACACAACTCGTGATAAGATAGCCAGTGTCCAGCTTTCCTCACCAACACACCAAGTCCAACACCACACTCAACACTCTCCTCCTTCAACTCTGTTACCACTGAGGAAGTTGCCAAGCTCCTTTCCGCTGCCCATTTCACCACCTGTCCCCTGGACCCTGTCCCCTCACAATTACTGCATCCATCTTCCTGCTCCATCCTAAACTCTCTAACCCACATCTTCAACCTCTCCTTATCTTCCTGCACCTTTCTTTCCCCGCTCAAAACATGTACTGGTCACCCCCATACTTAGAAAACTCTCACTGGACCCCACCTGTTTAAATAACTCAAGGTCCATCTCCCTACTCCTGTTTGCCTCCAAGCTTCTTTAATGCCTTGTCCACAAACGTATTAGTTGCTACCTCATTGACAACAACCTTCTCGATCCCTTACAGTCTGGCTTCCGCACACAACATTCCACTGAAACTGCCCTATTTAAACTCACCAATGACCTACTAACTGCTAAAACCAATGGCCAGTACATAGTTACATAGTTAGTCTGGCTGAAAAAAGACAAAAGTTCATCCAGTTCAACCATTAAAAAAAAAAAAAACTGATACTCTTAGACCTTTCTGCTGCCTTTGACACAGCTGACCACTCACTCCTCCTCAACAAACTCCACTCCCTTGGCCTCCTTAGCTCTTTCCTGGTGTCTCAGCGCACCTTTACACCCCGGTAACATCAAGCCCGACTTATAGTGAAGTCGCATGATTTCAAAGTCGGGGGACATGCCTATTTCAGGTGCGATTTCCAAGACATCTGACACAGATGTCTATGCAAATCGCACGAAAAGTGGTGCAATGTAGAAATTGGTGCAGCTCCGACCAAGTCGGAACCGCATTGATTTGACCACTGTAATTGCGGACAGTAGGGTGCGACTTGGCATACGATTTGCATGGGCGTTAGTGTCACATACAATACCATCTCCTCCCCTCCTCTTCCTCTTTCTGTTGGGGTAGCCCAAGGCTCTGTCCTTGGACTCCTCCTCTTCTCTCTCTCTATACCTCTTCCCTGACCTAGTTGATAACCTCCCATGGCTTCCAATACCACCTCTATGCTGATGACACCCAGATCTATCTCTCAACTCCTCAACTCACCCCTCAATATCCTTACGTATCACAAATGTACTGAGCGACATATCCATATGGATGTCCCATCACTTCCTCAATCTTTCTAAAACATAGCTTGTAATATTTCCTAGTCCTCGAACCACTCCCCATGACTTTATCATTGAGATCAACGGCACAACCATTGGCCCTCCACACATGCCAGGGTGCAAGGTGTAATCCTAGACTCTGACCTCTCCTTCAACCCCCACAGCCAATCATTGGCTAAATCCTGCCGCCTCAACCTCCACAACACTTTCAGAAGTCATCCTTTCCTGACTAACGACACCACAAAACAGCTTATTCACTCACTGGTTATTTCCCACCTTGACTACTGCAACTCCCTCCTCACTGGCCTACCCTTACAAAGGCTATCCCCCCTTCAGTCTATTTTGAATGCTGCTACTAGACTAATGCACCTCACTAACCAATCCGTGACTGCTGCCCCTCTCTGCCATTCTCTTCACTGGCTTCCTCTAAACCCAATGTATAAAATTCAAAATACTAACCACAACATACAAGGCCATCCACAACATCACCCCCAGCTACATCACCAACCTCATCTACAGATATAGCCCAAACCATCCTCTCCACTCCTCCTAAGACCTCCTGCTCTCCAGTTCCCTTGCTACCTCCTCCCACACTCGCCGCCAGGACTTCTTCAGAACTTCTCCAATCCTCTGGAACTCCCTGCCTCAGTATGTTCAGTTAGCTCCTACTCTGTCCGCCTTTAGACGATCCTTGAAAACTCATTTATTCAGGGAAGCCTACTCCACCACCACCTAAGAACTGTACTTGAGTCACCTCCATCAGATCATCCCCAGCATCTATTACCTTTTGTACCACCTCCTCCTCCCTTTAGATTGTGAGCTTCATGAGCAAGACCCTCCAATTTCTTCTGTATTGAACTGTATTGTAACTGTATTGTCCCCTTTATATTGTAAAGCGCTTCGTAATCTGTTGGTGCTATATAAATCCTGTATAATAATAATCTTGGGTTTCATAGCCTCCAGGGACAGGGTGTGCGTTAGCCATGCTCTGGCTTTTATTTGTTTGGGGGTTGTGAGTCTAACTTGGCGTTTGCAGAGTTCGTCTGGTTTCAAATTGAGCAGTGCCATGCCTGGTGTCCTTAAAAAGTCTGCCTCTAAGAATATATGTCAGCTCTTGGCTTCTTATATACCTTGGATACTCCAACAGTTGGATCTATGTGCCATAATTCCCAACTCTGTTCCTTTCCACCTGGGAGTTTTGGGTGTCTCTGTACACTTTTTTTTGTGTGTTCCAGCTCCTCCCTTTACATTCTCAATAACACAAAATAAATACAAAAGTCCAGCAGCAATGGTGAGAATCCCTCATAATGCTCACAACAGTGTACACATATCCCTGAGACGTCCATACTGTCTATAGATGTAAGCAGCCCAGCTTGGGAGCGAGTCTGCACGTGTGCCCCATAGAAAGCAACTTGTTATGGTGGCGCATGCAGAAGAGGAGGAGCTTAGAGTGCCAGGGGGGGACCCCAGAAGAGCAGTATCAGTGCCGCTCTGTGCAACACTGCACAGAACAAGTAAGTATAATATGTTTTTTATTTTTTTTTTAGCTATTACAACTACTTTAACAAGTGTACCATGGCATATGTCTAATTTGTTTTGTTCAGCTTTCACAGTTAGCATCTAAAGATCCCTGGGGGCAGCATATAAGTGAAACATGTGCTTTGCACTACATGGACCAAGCACAGCCCACTTTATGTTTAAAAACAGAGGGGGGATTTACTAAAACTGGGGTGCAAAATCTGGTGCAGCTCTGCATAGAAACTAATCAGATTCCAGTTTTTATTGTCAAAGGTTAAATGAACAAGCTGAAGTTAGAATATGACTGGCAACCGTGAGCAGCTGCATGAGATTCTGAGTGCACCAGTTTTAGTAAATCTCTCTCAAAGGTAGTCTAATCAATGAAAATAGAGGTACTTTAATCAATAAGAACAGGGGTAATCTAAGGAAATGAGAACAGAGGTAATTAATGAATGGAAACAGAGGTAATCTAATGATTGGAAATAAGAGGTAATCTAATGAATGAGAACAGAGGTAATCTAATGAATGGAAACAGAGGTAATCTAATGAACGAGAACAGAGGTAAACTAATGAATGGAAACAGAAGTGATCTAATGAATGAGAACAGAGGTAATCTAATGAATGAGAACAGAGGTAATCTAATGAATGAGAACAGAGGTAATCTAATGAATGAGAACAGAGGTCATCTAATGAATGAGAACAGAGGTAATCTAATGAACGAGAACAGAGGTAATCTAATGAATGGAAACAGAGGTAATCTAAAGAATGAGAACAGAGGTAATCTAATGAATAGGAACAGAAGTATTCTAATGAATAAGAACAGAGGTAATCTAAGGAATGAGAACAGAGGTAATCTAATGAATGGAAAGAGAGGTAATCTACTGAATGAGAACAGAGGTAGTTAATGAATGGGAACAGAGGTAATCTAAGGAATGAGAACAGAGGTAATACAATGAATGGGAACAGAGGTAATCTAATGAACGAGAACAGAGGTAAACTAATGAATGGAAACAGAAGTGATCTAATGAATGAGAACAGAGGTAATCTAATGAATGAGAACAGAGGTAATCTAATGAATGAGAACAGAGGTAATCTAATGAACGAGAACAGAGGTAATCTAATGAATGGAAACAGAGGTAATCTAAAGAATGAGAACAGAGGTAATCTAATGAATAGGAACAGAAGTATTCTAATGAATAAGAACAGAGGTAATCTAAGGAATGAGAACAGAGGTAATCTAATGAATGGAAAGAGAGGTAATCTACTGAATGAGAACAGAGGTAGTTAATGAATGGGAACAGAGGTAATCTAAGGAATGAGAACAGAGGTAATACAATGAATGGGAACAGAGGTAATCTAATGAATGAGAACAGAGGTAGTTAATGAATGGGAACAGTGGTAATCTAAGGAATGAGAACAGAGGTAAGCTAATGAATGGAAACAGAGGTAATCTAATGAATGAGAACAGAAGTACTCTAAACAATGAAAACAGAGGTACTCTAATAATTGAGAACAAAGGTATTCTAATCATCGAGAATAGAGGTTCTGTAATGAAACAGAACAGTGATACTCTAATGTATTAGAACAGAGGTACTCTAATCCATGAGAAAAGAGGTACTCTAATGAGGTTGTCCTGAACTCTAGGTTTCCAGCAAGCAGAGGAATGTACACAACAGGCTATTGTGGTATTATCAAGCAAAGGTGGAAAAACCAGAACCCCCAGCAGAGGGCCTGTACCCCCCACCGTCCATTTTTTACTTTGAGAAAGCAATATTGAGTGTTATATTACATTTTTCCAAAAAACTCTAAGCCATCCCCCTGCTCACCGCTCTCATGTCCAGCACTGGTGGCTCTGTGAATTTCAATCCTAGGTTGTTGATGATAAAGGCAGTGACGCAGAAAGCCACCCTATCCTGGCGCAGCGAGCGGACAATCAGCATCCTCTGCACCTCACTGCAGGCGTTTTCCCATTCCCCTGCAAAACAAACAGAAGTTTGACCAACTGCTGATGACACGGCAGTTAGAAAAAGTAAGCAAGGTTGTATCCCAAATCCACTGTAATAAGTCAGACCTAAACTGGCCACTGTACATATGGGAAGAGTGTTGTAGCAGAGTTCTTTGTTTGTAATAGCAGAGTTTTATTTTTGTGTCATATTAAAATGAACCTGTGCTTTGGTCATGCAGGGACAAACAACAGGTTCATTTTAATGCCTGTCCACCAGCTACACGTAATCCCTTCTCCGGCCTGCAGCTCCGTTCAACCAGTAAAGAAAAGTTAGCTAACCCGTACTTATGGGTATAAACATAGATGCAATAGTCCTGGTTTTGCTGGGACAGTCCTGCATCTGGCACCCCTGTCCTGATGATTCTGTGCCCTGGGATCACAGCATCCCTTACATTTGAGTTACGTGGTCTGGGCAGTAACTCAAAAAAGAGTATTAACCACCTCAGGTCCGGCCGTTGCATATAAACGGCCAGACGGTGGCAGTGCAGGGTCGGGTGGCTGTTTATAAACGACCTCCCCGCCCCCTGCTTGTGCGTGCTCCCTGGAAGCGCACAGTACCTCGATCCGGTGCCCGCTGTGTCCTCCGGACACAGTGGAACACCGATCGTCGTATGGGACCTCTCTGCGAGGTTCTGATCATGTGATCACTGATTGACCAATCAGTGATCACATGCAGAGTAGTAAGCTAGATGTCACTTCTGACATCATTGATTACTACGTGTGAAATCTGTGAATGATCACAGAGGTCATATGGTACAGGGCTATTCACAACAGCCCTGTACCATGTGACAAGCTGTGACCAATCACAGCTCACACAGTATTTCTCAATGGCTGCAGGAATGCAGCCAGAGAGAAGGAGAAATGATTGCTTTTACAGCCTTTATGGGTGTAAAAGCAATCAGTGTAAAAAAAAAAAAAAAATATCTTCATCACCCCCACAAGTAGTACGGTGTCACCATGGTGACACTGCACTTGGTAGGGTGACAGTATGTAAAAAAGTTAAATAAATAAATAAATACTAATATAAAAAAATAAAATGAAAATGTAAAAACAAAGTTTAAAAATTATAATTTTTGGTTATAAACTAATTTGGGTTATTTTTTTTTTTACTAAAAAGATAACAGAATACATTTTGGCCAAGAATTATGATGAAATATTATTTATTTGCAAAATTTTATAAGGAAAACACTTTTTTTTTAATTTTTAGACTTTTTCATTTGCATAGCAAAAAAAAAAAAAATCCCAGTGGTGAGTAAATACCACCAACATAAAGCTTTATCTGTCTCAAAAAAATGCTAAAAAATTCATATGGGTACAGTGTTGCATGACCGCGCAATTGTCATTCAAAGTATGATAGTGCTGAAAGCTGAAAATTGGCCTGGACAGGAGGGGGGTGAAAGTGTCTGGACTTGAAGTGGTTAATAAAGCGCCAGTGAGTGGATCCTGCATATTTAGAGGCGAGGCAATAATGTGACTGCCTAGAAAGAGCGTGTGTCAAGTGTAGGCAGTGGGCGGGAGTGGTAGTGTTGTGGGGACGGGGATTACAATGTTAGTAGGAAATACACGTAGAGGGGTTTGTAGCCTAATCCCCACCCTTTTTCCTATGTATCAGTGCTAGTGATTGATGATTGACTGTTTATGCCTTTCCTAAAAAGAGCTGTTCACCCAAAAAAAGAAAAAACTTACCAATGCTGCCAAGCTAAAGCAATTATGCAAAGAGCAGCAACTGCAGCTAAAGATGGCACACGCTGTTACTGAGTGGGAAAGAACAACTACATTTTAGGGTTGTATGTTTCAATCAACAAGGTGATGACAGGAAACAATAATAGTGTCAATTTCCAGAACAAACTAAAGTTTCAAAAAAATGGAAATTGTTTTTCACAGTGCTGTTCTTTATCAGCTTTTCCAAAACAATTCCCATATTCTCCTTATGAGGTTGCCTATATTTATATTAGTTGCAGTTTTATATTAATAAACAGCGGCACTGTAATGGGTACAAGTAACATGGGCTCAGTGCAGCACCCATTGCCGTACCTGGAAGGCAAGCACTTTCAGGCTCGGCGCTTGTATACCACTGATTCCAGTCACGTGGGTACTGCTCAAAAGAGTTCATGATGCCGTGGAAGTTGGTCAGTTTGTCAAGTTCTGTTATGTTGTCCCAGTTGGCATCAGACAGCCAACCTGGGCACGGATTATCCATTTGTTCTTCTCGATCCAGCACCTGTGATTGAAATACATACCATCAGTCTTCTATAAACATTAAATCCCTATGGTGTTGTCACACTTATTTATTTATTTATTTCAGGTACTTATATAGCGCTGTCAATTTACGCAGCACTTTACACATATATATTGTACATTCACATCAGTCCCTAACCCTCAAGGGGTGTACAATCTAAGGTAACACTTGGGATCTTATCACTGGAGACAACTCGGACCCAGAAGATTGGTATGCAGGACCGGGCAAGGCAGTGAGCATCTTGCCTAGTTCTCAATGGATACAGAGTTCTCTGACTGAATGAGGTGGAGAACGTGACATCACTGCCCAACTTTTCTACATCGTCCAATCAATATTCAACACTGAGAAGAAAGCAAGGTATTCTCTGAATGGCACATGTCTCATCTCCTGTTTGCACAAGATACTTCCTTATTATCGGAATGAGTGAATCTGTAGCTTTGCCTTCATGCAGACAGAAACTGTGACTAGCACTTTCTACTGATTAACAAACTAAAAAAATCCCAGCGCCAATCAAAGAAACTATACAATTATGCAGCTGTGCACCAGTGAAAACCACCAATAATAAATAACACAAAAAACAGCGCAAAAATTAAATAAATAAAAATAATCACAAATAAATAAATGTCCGTGCAAAAATATATATATAATATTTCAAACATACCGTAAGTCCTTATTTTCCCAAAAGGATTTTCAAAACAATGTTCCAAAATGTGCTTCCACCTAATCACCACGTGAAAAATAATATTGACCGCACTCACCAGATGGAGGTGAGTAATAAGCCTCATAGGATATAAGGGATCCTATAGCCCCTCAGGAGGAACTCAAATCGCCTTCACCCTGCTTAGATACAGCAATCGACTCCACTCTACTTCTCCATGGAATCCTCAATAGTGTGCAAGGAAAGAAAGGCTACATAGTGTAATCCTGCCACTCAATACCATATAAATCCATAGAATAAGGACACTCACATGTTTCAATAAAATAACAGGCCTTGTTTAATAGCCTCAAAGGCTTCAAAGGAACAAGTTTCCAAATTGTAAATACAGGGATCTCACGCTTTAAGAATCACTGTAGAGGATGACCAGCTTTCCACCTCAAAAATGGCTGCTTGAACCGCAAAAGTCGGCGTGCGTTCCAAATACCGGAAGTGACGTAGGCCAAGAAGACGGCAGACCGGAAGTGCGTCAATTTGTCCTTATTCTATGGATTTATATGGTATTGAGTGGCAGTATTACACTATGTAGCCTTTCTTTCCTTGCACATTATTGAGGATTCCATGGAGAAGTAGAGTGGAGTCGATTGCTGTATCTAAGCAGGGTGAAGGCGATTTGAGTTCCTCCTGAGGGGCTATAGGATCCCTTATATCCTATGAGGCTTATTACTCACCTCCATCTGGTGAGTGCGGTCAATATTATTTTTCACGTGGTGATTAGGTGGAAGCACATTTTGGAACATTGTTTTGAAAATAATATTGGGAAAATAAGGACTTATGTTTGAAATATTATATATATTATTATTATTATTACATCGAGTTTATATAGCGCCAAAGGGTTTGCTCAGCGCTGTACAATAGGGGGGACAATACATAGCACAGTACTACAAAGACAGACAGCGTACGAGGGGTAAGAGGGCCCTACTCTTTCAAGCTTACAATCTAGGAGGGAGGGGGGTAGTGGAACAATAGGAAGTGGCTGAGGGGAATGAAGTGGCTGAGGGGGATGAAGTGGTGGGAGGAATGAGGGAGAAAGGCTGTTAGGTGAGGGTGGGGTAGGCTTCCCTGAAAAGATGGGTTTTGAGGGAGCGCCTGAATGTGGGGAGGGAAGGCGACAGTCGGATGGATTGGGGCAGTGAGTTCCAGAGGATAGGGGAGGACCTGGAGAAGTCCTGCAGTCGTGCATGGGAGGAGGAGACCAGGGAGCAGGATAGAAGGAGGTCCTGTGAGGAGCGAAGGGTACGGGTAGGGTGGTACTTGGGGATCAGGTTGGTGAGGTAGTCAGGGGCAGTGTTATGAACGGCTTTGTAGGTCAGGATTAGAAGTTTAAATTTGATGCGTTGGACAATCGGGAGCCAGTGGAGGGAGAGGCAGAGGGGGGGTGGCAGAGGTGGAGCGGGTGGTGAGGTGGATGAGTCTGGCCGCTGAGTTCAGGATGGTCTGGAGGGGGAGAGCCTGCACTTGGGTAGGCCAGTGAGAAGAGAGTTGCAGTAGTCAAGGCGTGAGATGATGAGGGAGTGTACAAGAAGTTTGGTGGTGTCTGGGGTGAGGAAGGAACGTATCTTGGCAATATTGCGGAGATGGAGCCTGCAGGTGTTTGCAAGTGATTTGACATGAGGGAGGAAGGAGAGGTTCGAGTCAAGAATGATGCCAAGGACTTTGGCTTGCGTGGCGGGAGTGATAGTGGTGTTGGTGGTGGTGATGGATAGGCTGGGGGGGGGGGGGGTGTGGGCAGGGGGAAAGACGAGGAGTTCGGTTTTGGAGAGGTTAAGCTTGAGGAAATGGAGCGACATCCAGTCTGAGATGTCGTTTAGGAGGTGAGTGATGCGGGCGGAGATAGTGGGGGTGAGGAGAGGGGTGGAGAGGTAGATTTGGGTGTCGTCCGCGTAGAGGTGATAATTGAAGCCATGGGAGTGTATGAGTGTGCCCAGGGAGGAGGTGTAGATGGAGAAGAGAAGGGGTCCAAGGACAGAGCCTTGGGGGACCCCAACAGAGAGGGGGAGGGAGGGGGAGGTGGCGCCATTGTAGGTGACGCTGAAGGAGCGTCGGGATAGGTAAGATGAGAACCAGGAGAGAGCGGTATCTCTGATGCCAAGGGAGAGTAGTTTATTAAGGAGGAGGGGGTGGTCGACTGTGTCGAAGGCCGCAGAGAGGTCCAGGAGAAGGAGGACAGAGTAGTCGCCTTTGGCTTTGGCGTTTAGTAGGTCATTAGTGATTTTGAGGAGGGCAGTTTCAGTGGAGTGTAGGGGACGGAAGCCGGAGTGTAGTGGGTCAAGGAGGTTATTGTCAATAAGGTGGGCGCTTAGGCGATCGTAGACTATGCGCTCAAGGAGCTTGGAGGTGAGTGGCAGCAGGGAGATGGGTCTGAGGTTGTTGGGGTCTGCGGGATCCAGGGAGGGCTTTTTGAGGATGGGGGTGATATGTGCGTGCTTTAGGGGGGGAGCGGAATGCGCCAGTAGAGAGGGAGAGATTGAAGATGTGGGTGAGGGAGCGGATGAGGGAAGAGGGGGGTGACCGGAGGAGTTGAGAGGGGATAGGGTCCAGGGGGCAGGTAGTGAGGCGGGCTTCTGAGAGGACCTTGACGATTTCCTCAGTAGTGACAGGGCTGAGGGAGTGCAGTGCAGGGGGGGTTACGGTGGGCGGGGCCTCGGGAGAGGTGGAGGGCAGTGCGGTTGTGAGGGCAGAGGAGGGGGGGAGAAGAAGGGGTGACGGGGGTGGGGAGGCTAGGTGGGAAGGTAGATTGCGAGTCGACAATGTCCTTGCGGATAGCATCAATCTTGTTACGGAAATGGGTGGCAATCTCGGTGAGTGAGGTACTGAGTGGAGGAGGGGGGGGAGAGAGCAGGGAGTTGAAGGTGGAGAAGAGTCGGCGAGGGCAGGAGGAGAGGGTGTTGATTAGGTTAACAAAGTAGGCCTGCTTGGCGGCGTGGAGGGAGGAGGTGTAAGTGAGGAAGGCAGATTTGTAGAGGGAGATATTTATAGAGGGATTTATTTATAGAGGGTATATTTTTGCACAGACATTTATTTATTTGTGATTATTTTTATTTATTTAATTTTTGCGCTGTTTTTTGTGTTACTTTCTACTGATTGTAGCACTGGTGAGTTGTCACTGCATTACAAATGGTGCCTCTGGGATACTCACCACTCCTCCACGCAGGAAAAAGTTATACTCGTCCATATTGAGCTTTCCTGCCACCTCCAGGATCTTGGCGCACATCTGGAAACTGAACAGGAGCTTGTGCTTTTCAAAGAGAGCCCGGCATGTGTACCTGGCAAGATGAGGAAAGACATTATTAATACAACGCTTCCTAATAAATAATAAATGGTCTATAGCACATACTACTGGGTTGGTTGGGTCATGCAATGGTTGCTCAAATGCCTTGTGGACTCCACTAGCAATATGTCTTTCTTATTGTTCCTAGCATTGAATAAAGTTCCCTATAAACTATACCATGGAATAATTTTGGTCCTGGGTTTACGGCACTCCCCACCATAACATCTCACCTGTAGACAGCGTATGTGTGGTACTCATTGAGGTTGATGATTCTTTCGTCCAGGTTGGAGCTGCGTTTGCTCTTGTCAATACTCAGGTGGAAAAGATCAATATAGGAGTCCAAAGAGAACTGGTACATGGGGTCAATCCTCCCGAGGTCATTCAGGACAAAGAAGAGAAGTGAAGCCCGCTGGGCACAAGGACGGTACGCCTAGGATGAAATGACGGACATAACTGGATGATGAGATGGTGAGGGTGGGTCAGTGGATGATGCAGTAGCTTGCACAATACAGCACTTCTAACAGGCAGCATGGTTCCATTACAGGAGCAACACAGGAAACTATAACCCCTACAGTGATCATACATGAGATGTTTTCAGCTGGGATACATGTATTCATGTATGTGCCCTGATGGGTTAGAGGGGTACCTAGGAGGTGGACATGAGCTTAGAATAAAAATTCTAAGCAACTTTCCAAAATCTTTTCCCCAAAAATTATCTGTCATGTATTAAAGAGTATGCAAACCCTGACAAGTAACTCCATTGATCCCCTTTGGTCTCTTAAATATACCATTGAAAGTGTTTTGTTTAATCTGTTCAATAAGTGCAAACAAATTACCAACATTCGTCCTTCACAAACACAGTACAGTGAGTGGGCGCTTCCACCTTAGGACAGGAACTGTGTTACTGGATGGATCACCAGTTAAAAATAAAAGCCTGAAAAATGAAAACTACTGCAGCCACCTCATCTAAGGACTGGCAAGCTAATGTTTGTGATCTGTATCTATAGATTCAGATCTATAAAACAGATTGTGTTATTTCACTATTTTGTCTTTTTCTTCCCCCATATAGTAATTCATCCCCCATAGTAATTCATCCCCCATATAGTAATTCATCCCCCATATAGTAATTCATCCCCCCCATAGTAATTCATCCCCCATAGTAATTCATCCCCCATAGTAATTTCCCCCATATAGTAATTCATCCCCCATAGTAATTCATCCCCCATATAGTAATTCATCCCCCATAGTAGTAATTCATCCCCCATATTAATTCATCCCCCATATTAATTCATCCCCCATAGTAATTCATCCCCCCATAGTAATTCATACCCCCCATATAGTAATTCATCCCCCCTATAGTAATTCATCACCCCCCATATAGTAATTCATCCCCCCATATAGTAATTCATCCCCCCTATAGTAATTCATCCCCCCTATAGTAATTCATCCCCCCTATAGTAATTCATCCCCTCATATTAATTCATCCCTCATATAGTAGTAGTAAGTAAGTAGCAAGTAGTAAGCCAAGTCCCCCCTGTGTCAATTCACTTACCTTTGCTCCGTGCGTTCCTCTCGCCGTGTTCCCGCGCCGTTCCGGTCTTCAGGGCGGACTGTGAGAGGAGCCTAGCTCCTCTCACGTTCGTCACGCTGCCCCGCCTACACACATCCTGACAGCCAATCACTGGCTATCAGGATGTGAGTGGCAGCGAGACTGGCCAATCATTGCATTTGAGCGCGCTGCCCTGGCTGTTTTTTTTTTGGATCACGCTGCAGAGTCCCTGCCGCCAGAGAGGAGGGAGGGGAGCAGGCGCCCGGACACACAAGAGCCGCATTAAAGCGTGTAAAGAGCCGCATGTGGCTCGCGAGCCGCGGCTTGCCGACCACTGGCCTAGTAAATTCGTTTTCTTCTTTAACTGTTCCTTCATGGAACATAGCCTTAGACTGAAATGTTAAAGCGGAACTCCATCCAAAATGGGGAGTTCCGTTTTAAGTACTCTCCCCCCCATCTCTTTTACATTTGGCGCATTATTTTTTGGGGGGGAGGAGCAGGTAACTAGTTTTGACAGGTACCCGCTCCCACTTCCCTTCTGATCGCCTCCTCTCTCCTTCCCTCCCCACAGTCTTCTGGGACACATCACTGGTCCCAGAAGACTGCGGGACCATTCACAAAGGACTGCGTGGCTTGTATATGTGAAGCTGAAAGCTGCATAGCTGACTGCCCACATTTAGAATGCTGATGCCAGGAACCTGAAGGACAGTTTACAACAGAGTGAGGATGGTGCTGAATCCTTGGACAGGTAAGTGTCCTTTTAATAAAAGTCAGCAGCTACAGAATTTGCCTTTTTTTCTTTCCAGAGAATCTCCTCTTTAACTTAAGCCATCCTTTAGGATAACCCCTTAAACTGAAACTGAACACTCCAATTCCTCCAAAGAAACCAAAATCTAAAAAGGCATATTTTAAAGTGTGTTCTACATATAATATAATAAACTATCTCAATTTTCACATTTCTTGTCATTTTATTACCTAGTCCTAAATGTGTTAGCTTTCGTTCTGGCTTCTTGTCGTATGTAATTAAGATTTACTGGGCTCGTGTTAGATCTGTGGCACTTTCATCTTTCCTACACTCTTCAGACTACTCCAAGGATAACAAAGAACCAGAAAAACACAAATGCTCCTGCGCTTGGGGATGGACTCGATGCAGGCTACAACCACATTAAGAATGTCCTGGAACATGCACACCTTGCTGCCTTCAATAGATTGTGGAAATCGAAATATACTAAATGAGGAAAGAACAAACAGAGGGCGCACAGGCCTAGGGCATTACCATAAAAAAATGTTTAATAAGAAATAAAGTAGGTGTTGTACTCACAAACGACAATAAAGTCAAGGCATGTCATAAATAGGGAGTGTAGACATCCAATAGTCTGACGCGTTTTGAGGACTTGCCTCTTCCTCAGTGGCTCTGAGGAAGAGGCAAGTCCTCGAAACGCGTCAGACTATTGGATATCTACACTCCCTATTGCGGACTGTTACTCAGCGCAGTGTTGACCAAGCTGTTGTTTTATGATGTGCTTTGACTTTATTGTCATTTGTGAGTACAACACCTACTTTATTTCCTACTCCAAGGATAACCTGGTAGACGGAGAACCACCTCTAAAATTGGGACCTTAAGCTGATGAAGTCTGATGGAGGTAGCAATAAAGAGGAGATCCTGCAAGCTCTATCTTTTCTACCATTGGGTCCAGCGCTCTACCAATACGCCAACTGTAGACACACAAGTTCACTCTTAGACTGGTCATACATAGGTCAAAATTCAGCTGATTCAGCAGGGACTGGCAGAATTTCGATCCAAAAATAGGCAGGCTGGTAGAGCAGTTGGCCAACCTGCTGTTTTAACTAAAAAATAGATTAATGTATGGATAGCTTTACACAGTTGTCACCAGGGGCGGACTGACAACTCATGGGGCCCCCGGGCAATAGGGGATCATGGGGCCCCTGTGTCCTTGCCCAAACTCAAAAAAAGCCTATGAAAAAGGTACCAGGGGCATCTCATGGGGCCCCCTACTGACCCTGGGACCCTCGGGCAGTGCCCGAGTTTCCAAATGGTCAGTCCGCCCCTGGTTGTCACTGAAACAAGTGTCCCCATAGCAAGATTTCCCATCTATCATTACTCATCAGTGATCACCAGGACAAACAGAGAGGGTGAATCTCCCATCTAAAAAGTATCTTTAAAAATTAGATTTTAAAATGATCCATGCCATGTCTTTTGCTCTTCATCTAATAATACCTGTGTTCTTTTTTTCATCCTTCTCTCTAGTCTCTTCTCTCTAGCAATCCCTAGGTAGCAGCTGTGAAAACTCAGCTAGTGGTCTTGGATAGTGGTCACCTCTTACCTCTCTGGCTAAATCGATCTTCTCTTCAGTTTCCTCACTGCTCTCTAACTGCTCGCTCACTTCATTCGCAGTCACTTTCGAGGTCTGCAGAGTGTTTGCTAGTTGAACATCATCCAGAAGAGATCCCGTTGCCTCATTCAGCAGCCTGTGAGATGATCACACCCATCAGAATAAAGATTAGAGGACCTGACCCATAAATCTATCCTCTAAAAAAAAGACATATCCAAGAGGCACTAGGACATCAACACTCATTCATCCAAAATAGTGAGGAGAACATAATCTCTCTGGCAAGACTCTCCCAAGTGGGTACCAAGAATGTGACTCAAAACATCAAAATACAATAGGAACGCCAAAAAAAGTGAAAGAAGTGCAAACTGCTTTAATGGTTCATAGTATGATCACATAAAGAACATTAAACGTGTCTCGGGGCAAAACCACTCCCCCTTCATCAGGGCTTAGAACATTTCCCAGAGCTTATAGCTGAGTTCCAGCTTGGATCAATGTCATTTTATATATCAGGTCAATATCTGTGGAAGCTAAGAATCACTCTAGTAGCCTCTGCTAATATGGTGATCCTCACCGTCTTCCAGATCTTGTGGCTGCTCTACTTCTTTTCATTCCATTCAGAGAACGCCTTGCATTTTCTCAATTAATGCAAGGTATTCTCTGATTGGGCAAGGTGGAGAAGTGTGATGGTGATGTCAAAATCTCCACCTCATCCAATCAGAGAACGCTTTGCATTCACTGAGAAAAATACAAGGCAATCCCTGAATGGCACCCATGCCAAGCGAGTGACCTCCTGTGACCATAAACTACAAAAACTTCAGGTGCCCCTCACGGTTCCTCAATGCATATAGTCAAAGAAAGGTAAAAACCCAATTGCCACACACCACGACCCAAATGTAGTATACATGCAAGTGGATTGACTGGCTCCATCCAAGTCACTCCCCCGATGTATTTCAGCCCACTCCTGGGGCTTAGTCATGAAGACCTGACTAAGCCCTGGGGCTTGGGAAAAATACGTGAGATGCATGGTTTGGACAGAGCTGGGCTGA